TCGCTCTCTTCGCTTCGCCCCTCTAATTGTCCGTTCAGATCAATGAGCGTACAGAATATACGTATTCAAAAATCTATTATCGTATTATTCAATTCCGTTATTCACTAACGGGATTTAAGTCGATGATTATATGCGAAGATGGTGGTAGTAATGCACACCAATTTGAGCTGACCTTCTACTAACAATGTCTTTTCCTACACTTAGATTTGGCGCTTGTTAGAAATGGTTGTCTGAGCATAGTTATAGTAATCGGTCAACATTATCTGTTCGCTGAGCCACGACATCATGAGACCTACCAAGTGACTTTCAGTTGGGTTTCAATTACCTACTTAGATATTAAAATCTACTGTCACTATTATTACATATCAGAGCCCAGCTTTTTAATGAAGTGTTAAAAGGTTTCCATAAAAATCCATTCTCTACATTATCTGAGCTGAAATCAGTGGGAGCGTAGGCAGAGACAACGAAAAGGTGACGGTGTGTGCCTATCTTTCCAAGTTTTACTGTTATATTTAATTGGACAGATTAACAAAGGACTATCCATTGGGATTCAGTCTAGGAGAGACTAAAATGCTTCAGAACTTACTGCTACACTTACCAGCGAGAACACGAGAAGTAGCAATAAAGTCTTTAGATACATAAAAGGTAAATAGCGCGGTTTCTTTATATTAATTAGATAAGGTAAAATGAGTAGCTGTACTTGGATTCCGTATGTGCATTTTGAAGATACAACATGGATTGGCAGATCCAGATTCTAGAGTCTGGGCTCAGGAAACCTGCTGTCCTATCTGACACAAGATTTGGACATTAAAAGGAGACCAGGAATGATATTCGGTGAACTTGGATCGTCAGATACCAAGGGATAACTGCTTGAACCTGATCACAGGTGGCTTTTAATGCGAAGTTTTTGAAGTGTTAATTCCGTACTTCGAAAGGCCACATTACCGGAGACGGAAATCCTGAAGTAAGGTGATGTGTGAAATTTTTGGGGTCGACCATTTCTAGCTGTTTCCTCCTATTATCCTAACGAAAAAGTCCGTTTAATTAGTCATCAATTACTAACATTATATTATTTATTGTAGAGATCTGAAAATACTTTGCAAATTGGTTTGGTTCATGTGAATAATTGCAATTAGTCTCGGCAGAGTCACACCGATTTGTTAATACACAGCTTTCTGATTCCAAAACAAATAATTAAATTTGGCGTTAGCTTGTGTAATCGGTATGTTGTCCAAAGAAATCAGCCTTATTTCATTCTTTTCTCAAGAATGCTACTTCATGTTTTTAAGTAAAGTGGAATCCAGTAGAAATGCATCTCATCATATTTAGAACTTGTCAATTGGATGTATCATTCAAATCCCAATGTGAAAAGTCACACCGGGACTCAGACTCAGTACTTTTTGCTTTAAACACTTAACGTGTTACAGAGGTTCATTCAGCCAGTTATCAACTTCTGTAACAGGGATGAAGTTATTTTTATATGTGTTGTTCTAACTTTCACAATGGGAATCTTTAATATTTTTATAATGGTTTGGATTTTCCCTTTTGATATAAAAGACAGTAACTAATCAATCTCATTTTGACGAAAGTGCTTAGAGAGAAGGTTGCCTCACTATTACTATTAGATCAATACGTTTTAGGTAAAGCCTAATACAATCGGTCCTCAGGGTTTTCACAATGTCAGTAAAAACCACACCAAAAAAACTTTGACATACTAACGTGACAGTAAACATATAGGATTTATCGATCAGTTGGTGATTTCCGATCAAAAGTTTTGACTATCGATTCTTTATTACTGTTCTATAAACTGTTTCCTGGACAATTACTCTCCATCAGAAGAAAAAATTATACTTGGGAAAACTAACTAGCTATCATGAAATGCCACTTAATACTTGTAGACTAATTTAGGTTAAGCATTAAAATCGTTGGATGCCCACTCAGTAGACTAGAGGTTAAGAGTTCGTGCGTGAGGCTGAAGGTCTTGAGCGTGGGGTCGTGGATGCACATTGGTGAGGAGTCCCAATACAAGGACAAAACCGCCTTCGAGTTGTCGAAACATACATATCCTAGCTACCCTAGTATTTAGTCATCGAATTAAAATGCGTTAGTGAATAAAGGAATTAAATAAGTTAAATACGAGAAAAGATCGGAGAGGCGATGAGAAGAGAGCAAAGCGAAATGATGCGCAATAGAGAAGGCGTATGGGCCAACTCCATTTAATCAAGCGTTAATCGTTATTTTTATTCAGATAAAAATAAGTTACAGACATGTGGTGAATAGGATAAGAAGTGAGCACGCATACGCTCATACAAAAACAATTAAGGTTGATGAGCAAATAATTAACAAGGTCAAAATATGACTTAAGAAGAATGAATTGATCGGCCTGTCCAGAAGCTAGAATAAGTTATTTGGGTTTGCATACCACTACAGAGGGAATATCTTCAATGTGTAGCTTCCTCTAATCCGACATGGTTAAACTCTAATTGTCACAGATTTTCACTAAAACTATTTAACACTTTTCCTCTAAATTCTTATTGATTATTACCTCGAAGACCATTAAAAGAAAGAGAAAGTATATAGTTGTTCAGAAATTCATAAAAATAATACACCTACGATAAAGTTTGTTTTGCAAGAAAGAATATAATGCGATAATTATAATATATAGTTAAATAATATAAGAAGTAGAATTCTTTCAATTTGATTAATAGAAAGAATTTTATGAGCAGTTATATTAATCAGTGATAGTAGTAGAGTAAGGAGAAAGAATGAAGTTGTAGAATAAAAATTGTAATTATTTTAATACAAAGAGTGAATGCATCTGTTTTATTGTGACTGACTTTGAGAAATGCCTCATAGCCATTGGTGGTGATTTTCTTGAAGACTTCAACTAGAGATAGTTTGTATAAACTAACATAACTCAGTCTAACAGAAAATAACTTCATGGATTGATATCATATTTTAGTTGGACCGCCTCTAGAATTTTTCCAACTTAGGTACAATCAAGAAATATCAAACGTCAGGATAGGCGGTGTTTGGGTATGTGTGATAAATGTTCCAGACACCAAAGTCGATATAGATTCCCAATCTTACTAAACGATTTGGCATATTTACTAAATACTTCGTCTCTAACTTCAAAATTTATAAGTCAATGGTGCCAGAATAATCGAACAATGCTTGGAAGACATCTATGATTAAATACCGGTAAACTTAAGAATATACTTCATTTTTTAAAGATCATATTTATGAACTTACAAGAGAATGGTAAATGTTTACAGAAGATTATCTGACCGACTTCTTATTAAATTCATTTTAATTAATTGTTTAATGAAACCTACTTTATGATAAACAAAGATAGGTGGTGACTAACAGTGGAATCCAGGACGCACGTTTCGTCCTATTTGCGACTCGCTGGGTGGGTGTACCTGCATCCTAGAGTTAATGTCCACTCCAGTACTCGAGCCCAGAATCGTTCGCTTCAAACGCCACCGCGTTATCTACTTAGCTACTGAGTCCTGACAGACACTAGCTTTTGAAATCGAGTAAAGTTTAAATTCATTTTGTATGGTTTGTTTGAATCTTCACATTGATGTTTAGGACGGCAATTGATCGAGGCAATCCGTACAGAATACACATATGCCATTAAGAAACTGATCAATTTCAGTCCTAAACATCAATGAGAAGATTCAAACAAACAATACAAAACGAACTATTTTATGATGATGTTAAAGTTTATGAAATTTAATAACCATAACGAAAAATCTGATTTAATGGAGTATTTGTGAAGATTTAACTGGTTCAATTTCAGTAGAGTAACATAAACACAAAATGTATAGATTGCACCTACTGACATTTTAATAAGACAAATTAATAAATTAAAAAAAGACAGTATACTTAGTATTTTAGTCACTCTTAAAATACTACTAGTAGTACTGCTATAAGATAGTGTTTATTTAATAATTATATACTGTTTGCTGAACTATCTTACACTTATACTTTGATTGTATTTAAAATATGACTTTTTTTATTTCGTGTGCTGTGTGGTCAGACATTTCAAGTACATTATTAAATTAAGTCGGAGTCATAATTGGAAATGAATAAAATATACACAGTTAATCCGTTTACTGTCTTTGTTTACCAATTAGCCACTGAATTAAGAGGAGCTCAAGGACCAATCCCGCATGTGGGATCGTGGATGGGCAGTCGTGAGGAGTTACATACTAGGACGTAACAGCCATCCAGTGCTTCCAGGTTCTCAATGGTAGTCTAACACTGGTCGATTCATAATCTCAATCAAAACACTAAGGTCTTGGATGTTGTTTTCCTGATCAGTGTATTAATTGGTTGTTGAGGACGTTAGATACCCAGAACTCACTTGGAGAAGGTCCTAATTGTTTAATTTTATTCTGAAAATTTGAACTTTATGTTTTCGCGCCAAGAGACGCTTAGTTGACCTACAGCCTACATTTCCCACTCGGAATTCCTTGACTATCATTGGTTGACGGATTTTTTTAGTAAGCTGTTTTGTGGCTCTCCTAAGGGCGTTTCTATCATTGTCTAAATAAGCTTAATTTGTGTGCTTAGTAGAATACATTCTCTACGCCTCATCAAGACTTCTTGATCTAGTTAGCAAGGTCGGGGACAATGGATCAGAATAGCCTATCGTGTCACTGCATCTTGACTTTCGTTCTGTTTACCGAGTAAGGTGAACTCGTAATAGCATTCAAACATATCGTTGATACTTAGAAGTTCACTGTTCCTACAAGAAATATAGGTATATAGGTGAATCTACCACATTATATCGATTAGCGTTCTCAAGAAATAAAATAACCGTAATACAAAAAGAATAAGCATCAAAATTACAAATCAAGGAGAAAACATAAATTGTTTCAAAAAAACATAGTCGCAAACATAATAAATAATAATAAAAGAGAGAAAAAAGCTGGTCATTATGTAAATAAATAAAGAAAGTGAATTAATCATCACAATAATCGACTACTTACAAATCTACTTTGTATTTTTTTGATATTGCATAAGTTTTCTTTAATGCTTCAATAAAAAATATTAAACCAATTAATGCTGCAAATGATTCTTCAGTGAAACGTGTAATAAATTTGACTAATGCACTCAGATCAAGTGCAACCATAATGAATAGGGCAACAGCGACCCAAATACCAATCCATAAACGAAAACTTAAATATGACCAATCCATTTTCCTGCAAAATAAAAATTATCATAGAAAGGATTATGTGTAAATAGTGTTTTTTTGGACGGGGGATTGGGAGGAGAGGGAAATAAATGAATAGTTAATTAAACACGTAAATTTAACTGTATGTCTTTTTGGAGGAATCTATACAATAATAAAAGAAAGATAGGATGGTGTTAATTCTTTAGGATGTGGGTAGAGAAGAGAATCATTACTACAGTCTGGAGCAGGTCCTGAAGATTGTTGCATTCTAAAGTTTAGATCACTGACTGATCTTGAGTTAAACAATTAGTGAAGACCAAGAAGTAAAGGATAACTGTTTCATCCTAGTATGGAACTAGTCAATAGTACGCGTCCACAACGCCACAAGGAATCGATCTCAAAACGTTTGGTTTCGCAGCAAGTGTTAGGCCGGGATTCAATTTTATTCATGTACAATTATCAATCAATATTCTACCTTTTAATGTCAATGGTGGGAAGTTGCTTCATATCTCATAAGACTGAACTTCACATATTACAGCTCTTTAATATAAAGCTTGAGAGATTACTTCTGTAAATTAGCCAGTAGTGAGCACATAACTGTTACTAGTATTATGAGGGTGGGTTGTAGAGATAGTTAAGTCTTAATTAAACAATTATTGAAAGCCAGAGATCACTGGACATTCATTAGATTCTTGATCTTCAACCGTTACTTAATTAAGAACAATCCATTATTTAAATCATGTGATCACATCAATAAACTCCTGATGTACTGCAACAGCTATAGTTATATTCTTCTTTTCCATCTTGATGTAACTAGTAGTACATTTTAATTAGTGATTTGTATAGACTACACTATAATCAGTCAGCTTTTTAAAAGCCACTACTCTGCCTATTAATACAAGCAATGTTATAGCATTATATATGTATGAGTTCTAGTATTCAGTCAGTCAGTAACAACGTGGAACTTCATACGTACGTACATCAGGTCAAGTTGCCATACCAAATTAGCACACAGATACAATTGTTTATTCAAATTACGTAGCGGTAGAGGTAGTAAGAGTATAAGCAGTAATCGGAAAGATTAGGGTTTGAAGATGTTATTCAAGGAGTATAATACAGTGAAATAAATTTGGGAAGAGAAAAAAGAAAGGGACATGAAGAATTCAGAAGATTAGCATTTGGGAGAACACAAAGAGTTCATGCACCTACGCCATTGCAAGCAATTCTCAGCCATGTCACATTCAAAGCCTCTAACCATCGGTTACTATCATCTCGCGGTCTCCAACCAGGTAGTCTACACCTACCAACATGGCTCAGTCCACTTGTCAGTGACTTCATGTATTTGTGCGATGTTTTGGTCTAGCTGCCCCTTGCTTTCTTCCAACCTACTCCAACACCAGAAAACATCGCACGTCGGGGCAATCGGTGGTTCGGCATACGTAACACGTGATTGATTCATTGATTGTCCCAGCCACTTCAAATGATGAGGTTTCACTACTTCATCAATTGATTTGCCATCCTTACCTAGTACCCGTTTCTTAACAACCGCGTTAATTACTCGATGCTCCAAGGATATATGAGCAATGTTTCGAAGACACCTATGATCAAATACTAGTAACCTACAGATATTCTCTACTCGTACCGGCAATGTTTCAGTGCCATAAAGTAGGACGGAACGGAATGCTGTGCATTAAACCCGTCCTTTGCTTGGTAGACGGATATCTCTCCTACGTCATAAATGACGCAAGTTGGCAAAAGCTAGTCGAGTCTTCTGTATCCGTGCTGAGATTTCGTCACACACCAAACCACAAGGGCTGATGAGACTTCCAAGATAAGTGAAGCGGTCGACACGCTCAACTACTTCACTCCCTATCATTAATTCGGGTGTCAATGCAACCAAATCCTAAAGCAACATTTTGCATTTCTAGGAAGAGAATCGCATCCCGAACATGCCTGCATTGTTGCTTAGAGTGGTCAGAAGACTCTGCGTTTTGTCAGCGTCTTCACCAAATAAAACTATGTCATCTGCATATTCTAAGTCAACATGTGAATCTCCCGGTAGAAGTTCTAGTATTAGCTCAGAAGATTGCATCACTCCATGTATATAGACAGCCAGAGTAGTTTATACCAATCCGGGATATCTTTGACAGTGTTTAGAAGTTAGTTTACTTCTAAAAGATCATATATGTAATGCGCATTACAGAAGACTTCTGCTATGTTATTCTTTTTTCCACTAGTTATATAATCTTCTTTTCAATCTATTCTACTTATGTTTCAGAGTAATATTTATTACAATTGATAGTTTAACCGACATTACTCGGTTAGATTCGTCAGTACTAATCGAGACTGTTTTACCCTCTATCTCAAGTATATTTATTTTGCCTATTTAATAACATCCTATGCTTTGACAAATGATAAACTTCTTCTGACAACGATCAACATTGAGTTGTGGGCAATATAATCTAAACACTAATCAAATTAACAGAACGGCATTTTCTATTAATAAAGGTTTGGATGAAGATATTTCCTAAAGATTTGTATAATTTTAGTAGGCTGTATTCATCATAAAATGATATCAATCGAAAATATCATTGACTTGCTTCAAGACGTTTCCGAAGTTCTAGTGAGGACTAGTAAACGATATTCCGGCATATAAGGAGTGAAACACTTGTTACCACTAATTTGAATGTTCATCATGTTATAACTCAAATCGATTGAAATTGAAATTCTATCATCATTGGACATCAGACTAAATGGTTCGAATAATTAATTGTTTCCCTCATGACTTTAAGATCCTGGATTAGCTATCAAGAGTTTAGTTATTGCCTAAAAGTCACATATTGTGATCAATCTGCGACAAATACAACATACGCATAAAATTTACTCAACTAATTTAATTCACTTATAACTAGAAAGTTAAGTAGCCACCTCTAGTTAGGAGTGATTTATGATCATGATGAGTAATATCCACTAATAAGAATTATAAAAAGAATCTGTTCATGATTGTAAAGTATGCTGGGCGATATTTCGAAATATAACCCGAGAATGTATGGTATATATATGGTGCAAATTAAACCGGATAAACTCAATACTGTACACTTTCTAATTAATGATCTCTTTACATTTTCATTTGTTTATACTTACAAGACCTTATGATGTATTTGTTCAACGAATTTCGGTCACTATTATTATTATTACTACATAAAATTTCATGCTAGCAACTAAACATATATATATATATATATATATATATATATATATATATATATATACGTAAAGCATAAAAATGCGAAGAGGCCGACAATTTTAATTAAACTTTACAATATTGTATTCATTAAATTAAGAGTAGTTAATAGTAATAAGTGTATGCATATATACACATATATGGATGTATGATAAAACGGCAATAATAGTGACAATATTTCTCTCTTTAACATTAAATTTAAATAAATTCTCATTTTGACTATTTTTTTCACTCTGTTTATATCTTAAACTGACTTCCTTTATTGCTTTACTACTTATAACCATAATTAATAATGATAATAATAATAATATTAATGTTTCGTAATTATGTAGTTATTAGTTGTTAATTATGTATATATATATATATATATATATATATATATATATATATATATATTGAAGATTAGATCTGGGTATGTTTACAATGTAATACATTCATTGGAATTATTATAGTATTTATGATGTTATAATATGAATGATAAATTTTTAGTCGATTAATGAAATTGTTGATAACCTTATTTTACAGAGTATCTGGTTATTATTATTTTTTTTTCATTTATTTATTCGTATAATTTTCATTGTCTATATCCTCTGATTTTGTTGACTTCCTTTATTTCTTCCGACTTTAACACTCTCGTTTCCATCTGACCTCATCTATCTCTCCCTCTCTTATTTTCTTGTATCTAATTACCCACTAACGCTGAATGTTTAAATGGTTAAAAGTTAATTTTCAATGAGATTTATTTAAAGTATTACGAATTTACATACATATTTGAATATGTATAAATTTATATAGTGTTATATATATAAATAAGAATCAAATGATTACTTCCTGTATATCTGACTATTTATCTGCTTATTTAATGTACGTTTATGGGCACAATAGTTAACGAAATAGTCTAAGTAATTAATTTGTATAAATATATATTTATTATTAGTTTGTTGTAGTACTGTATTCTGATAATTAAGTGATAATTATTATAGGGGGGGGGGAGGAGATTTGTGGAAATTGTAGAATTTTCAAAGTTTAAGTTACGAAATAATCTTAGCTAGATCATTATTTAAAAATAAGAGGCTCTGGTCGACCGGTTCATTTTGGTATAGGACTTCTGAGAAATATGCATTTGCAACTTTGCGTCCACGAGTCGAACCAAGAATGTACATTGATGAGAAGTCCCAAACTATGACGAAACGGCCGTCAAGTACATCTGTGTTTCATTAGGGGTCTATCTAAAATCTATTCTTCATTTAAACTATGAAGATAACTTAATTGATTTACGTTATATTCATTTCGAATTTCAAGTCACCGCTTGCCAATGTGCAATATTTTAAGAAGTATTGAATTACGTTATAGTAGGGCTAGGATTAGATAAGACATTTAACTTGGAACCATAATCTCGCCCTATCTACTTCTGTTTCGCGAGATGAACTCTCCTTCTTTCTCTTAAAATGACCTCTCATAGAACAATGGGTTTATTACCTCTTTCGGGAGAATTCTATACATTACTTTCATGAGATATGAGTATTTACAACAAGGTGAAAAACTGAAGCATATGTCTGCCAATTAAACTAAGTTGAAGGATGATAATGGTTTACCAAAAAGAATTAGGAAACTTATGTTTTCAAATCAATAGTACATATGAATTTCAGGATCTTGAAGGGATGAATAGGGTATGAAGTGAATGCTTTAATGGCAACATGTTTCAGGCTGTGAGGCTGAATGACATAGGCTCAAATATCACGAGAACCATCAATTACACCAACATTGAAGCTATGACTTGGTAAAGGGTACGAAACATAAGTTAATGATATGGGATTGTTTTCCACTGACTATCTTCAACCACTTAGGAAACATGTTTAAAGGAAATTTAGCAGTAAATTTGTACTTTAATTTGATTGTAAATAAAATAACAGCAAAAAAACTCACGTGCATAATCTAAATATGATACTTTCAAATACTAGAACTGGTCCTGTACTACCCATGATAGTTAACGGTTGTCCAGAAAATAGTGAATACGTGATACCTACAACTGCACCTGATAATATACTTTCAATTGTTCCCTGAAAACAGAATAAATAATCGTTGTTAATAAATATTAAATCAAATCAAATGTCTAGTAAATAAATAATATCAAGTGTGAAATCCTACGACAATATTTGGAAATAATCGTTGTCATTATCTGGCCATCGATGAGAGTACAAAGAAGGGGTAGGTCAACAAAATGATTAAAACAGTGAAAGTTTACTTCTCTGAAAACGAATAGCTTATATTTTATTCACAACCAAATGAGTAGAAGATACTAATGATCAGTTGTTTCTGCTGAAATCATGGACCTGTCAATGTTATAACACCACTGAAAACTTGAAAAGACTGCCGTTTCGTTCTGTATGGGACCACCTAGCACTGCGCACCCACGACCCCGCATGCAGGGACCTTCGGTCCCGTGCGTGAACGCGTATTCTCTATACCACTATGCCGTCATCCAACAGTGTTCATGTCAAACTACAATCAATATACGATAAAGGCTTCCATCTCTTCTAGAAATTCACCTTTATGTGTGATTTGGTCTGTACTCACTGTTTTTATTCCTTGTTTTTTTTCCCTGTGAATGTTAAGTTCTACTTCTGCATAAGCTACAGTGACTGCTTTATTCTGCAACCGTTTCTGTGTATGGGATAAGTGGAAGATCAGGTGATATGTGAAGTCTAAATCATCCAACTGCATACGAGTTGCCCAATGTATACTCTGTTTCGTTTGAGATGTGGATATCTTCTTATTCCAGTCAACAAAGAGAAGAAAGAGAAAAGACAAGAGTAGGCAGCTTTGTCTGAAATCGGTCATCACTTAGAATGTATTCTTGAGCTGACATTTGGTTGACTGACTGACTTGTAACTTGAATAGCTAAAAATTAGCTTCGTTTTATTCAAGACTGTCAATGAGGCACGTTTACATCAAGGAGAGCAGGGACTGCTGAACAATCATTTCCGTCCTAGTTTGCAGCTGTCCAACACTAAAAACGCAGACACCCCACTCTACCATGGCCCACATACCTCTGATCCGCAGGTGAAGGTGATGGACGCGCTAACACCTAGATACTACTAGGTAAGTCAGTGCTGAATGATTCATATTTCCTAATCAAATTAAATTGCGATATGAAACTGCTAAGGCAATTACAGGACTACACAGTTTTTATCAATAAAGCTAAAGTTTAACTAGTAACAATAATCATGGGTACTTTATTCCCAAATCAATTTTTGAATGACTTTTGGGCCTTTCAGGTTCGTCTCCAATTTTCTGTGTGTTTTATGGTCATACTTTCATAACTAATATATTTACTGAGTAGTACTACTTCGAGTTGTTCTGTTTGAATACCAATTTTTTCTAAAACATCACCTTCTTGCTATGTTAACTTCTAATTGTCAAATCATCGTATAATAGATGCCGTTGTCTATTTTTCGAAAGCCATCATCCAGAAGACATAAGTGTTTATTAACAGCTATCTACGCAAAATACTTCGGATCCGTTGACCAGACACTATCAGCAACAACCAACTATGGGAGAGAACAAACCAGGAAATCAGGAAGAAGCGCTGAAAGTGGATAGGACACACATTGAGGAAAGCAACCAACTGCATCACAAGGTAAGTCCTCACTTGTCATTCTCAAGGCCAAACGAGGAGAGGAAAACCAAAGAACACATTACGCCGAGAAATGGAGACAGACATGGGGAGAATGAACAACAATTGGATAGAACTGGAAATGCAGGTCGGCGGCCTATGCTCCATTGAGAGTAACAAGCGTAAGTAAGTAAGTAACTAAGTAAGTTATATGTTTTTACACAGTATACCTATTCGTATTAAAATAATTCAATGGTTCCTTAATTCGTGAATACCACAAGGTCAATCAGAATCACTAAAACATAATTATTCATAATAAGACGTAACAGAAACAGGATAAATTTATAACTTCCTCTCAAAAATGATTTAACTCTATTGTAATAACAAGTTGCTATCAATATTAGGATATGGAGAGTTCGCAATACAAGTCTTACTCATCCGTCATTAGTTATTCCAGTGCATAATTCATTATTTTATTAGTTAACTTAATCACAAACAATAATAATGTGTCTTTTTTCTCGTTATGGACAAACAATATGAAATGTTATCACTAATCATTCATTGATTCATTTTAATTAATTCTAAATGTATATTATTCACAATAGCGGTTAAGATAAGATAACTTCTCATATAATCAAATACTTAATTACATGATAATACATTTATAATTAATTTTATCTCTATATAACTAATTATGGGAAATATGGAAATGATAAGACCTTTTTATTTATAACATTGAATAGTGATATATATTGTTATTCACTTCAAATAACTTTATATGCCGACAAATTAATAATAGTTATAATTATAATTACCATCGTGATTAGTATTGTCATTATTATCATTATTATTATTATTATTATACCTTTTAAAAGTTAATATAAGTCGAAGAGGTTGACTTGACACAAATTCTGAGGATCTTATATATACGAATGTATCCAACTCAAGAGTTTGACCACATTATATATATATTGGATACCTTATTATCACTACTATGATTAATATATTTATACAATACAATATGCATATATGTAGTATAGTATAGTATAGTATAGTATAGTATAGTATAGTATAGTATAGTATAGTATAGTATAGTATAGTATAGTATAGTATAGTATAGTATAGTATAGTATAGTATAGTATAGTATAGTATAGTATAGTATAGTATAGTATAGTATAGTATAGTATAGTATAGTATAGTATAGTATAGTATAGTATAGTATAGTATAGTATAGTATAGTATAGAATTATATCTTTTTTCTAGTTTATTTTATCCTGGTCAATTTTTTGTTGTTCTTGTTCTTGTTGTTATTGTCGTATTCCTTTTCATCCCGAAAATTTCATGTAAATCTTCAGGATAGAAACAATTTATATAATTTCCATAAGTTCAGTTAAATGAGTTCCCCACACAATAGATTTTTTTCAGTATTAATATAAATGGGAAAACATTGAACTTAATGTTATTTCATCTAAGAATTCATATACATATAAAATTGATTATGCAATTTTTTAGTCCATAAATACTTGAGAAATTTGTAAAGATTGTTTTGTGCATTCGAACAAAATATGGAATCTCAGTGTCAATAAATTAATCACTACAACTAAATACTAGAATCTTTACAAATTCTCATACTGACAATAATCATGTTCTCGCTAGTGACTAGCCTTAAGATGGATTTTTTGGAGTTTTAATGAGAAACCGTGACTAGTGGGGTCTAATTTATGTCACTTGTGAGATATTTATCCTACGCAGACAATGGATGAAGGGTTACAAAATATTATGGATTGATTGAAGTTAGATGTTAACATCGCTGGATCACGGTCCGATGTTTTAGAAGTTAGGGATTCGCACATGAGACTGACAGTCCTGTGTTCGATTCCCACGTACTGGATCGTGAATGTACACTCTCGAGGAATCCTATATTAGGATGAAAAAGACATCCAGCGCCTCCAGACATTTAATGGCGGTCTAACTTAGATTGACTCGTGAATTCAACTGTGAAAATATTACGATCTCCACAAATCCCCATACTGGTAATTAATTGTAGTATTAATAGCAGTAGTAGTCAGGGTCTGTTAGTATTACGATAAATCGGGGATTACTAACTGAATATCTCAGTCGTAACATCTGTTTGACTGTGTGACAATAGATAATGTAGAGTTCATATCTAATGAGAAACATAGAGGGAGAGAAATAAAGTTGGTCTTATGTATACATCAATAGAGCAACCTTACAGAAAAATACAATAATTAAGCTTGGAAAATAGATAAGTGCATATTTTCGACACTTTACTAGTATTTACTATTGGTGATCTGAAGTGTACGGTGTGATCTTGGTAAATAAGTAATGTTGAATATGAAGCATACGGTAACTGATGGGAGGCAATATCACACATACTTAGACTAACAGTTATATATATATAGTTAGAGTTATTGGTTGGAGAGTTCAATGTTCTTATTATTTCTACAATTTGATGATGATTATGACAGTATCTGATATTTGGTTTGGTTTTGCATCGAAGGTATCAGTTTATTAACGATGTCTGCAAAAGTAATACTTAGTCCCAAGTAGCTTAATGTTAAGTATCAAAACAATTTTTCTTGGGTAAATTCATTTTATCAACATGATTTCTATTGTAAAAACTATTTGGTATGAAAAACAAGAAGTTAGTAGTCAGTGTCCGTCCTGTATTATTAGATGGCTGTAAAACATGATCTTTGAAAATAGTAAATATTCATAGGTTACTAGTATTTAACTAATGGTCCTTTAGAAGCATTACTCGCTTGTTTTGGAATGGCTGAGTGAATTAGGTCAGGCTTACGGTACTAGACAAATATGAAAAATTAGTTGATGAGGTTGTGAATCCTCTTAAACCGAAGCGGATGGGATATTTGTTATGTATTTTTAACCAACGGCTATCTTGACGCAAAATATTTGTGGATGTAGGATTAGCTTTTAAGAAAGCAAAGGTAGACTAAACCAAGATATGATATCAGTTCATGAAATTATTGAATGTTGAACTAAGATCTGTCAATAGCTTCAGATTACCTGGTTGAGATCTATGCAATAATTGTGATTAATAGTAGGAAACTTTGATTAAAACTCCTCAGAATCGGTGACAGTGGCACAGAGACATCCACTCCTGCACTTTAGGTTTTAAAATCATCATTTACTTTTTTATTTCACAAATTTATCGCTTTTCTTTTCGAACCATATTGTCTTCGTCGAATATTGTTTTAATACTACCCTGACATTTGTCATAATTATTTAGTCTCTTTATGTGTATTGATATACTTGGACAATTTGAATCAATGTACATAGTGATCAAGTTATAGGTTGTCGACAACCAAATTTTATTGGGATAGAGCCTTGATTAATAAATATTTGAGACCAGATCGAGTCAGAGCAAGCTGGTTATTCCATTATCAACCAATCACTATTGGTGTATGGATGGATTAATGATAATACAAAAATATGACAATGTAAATTATTATGTATACTCTAAAACGTTTTACTACATCAAATTTTACTAGTTATTTTTTTGTAAAATACACTCTCAGCTCCTTTTCATTTGTATACTAGTCAAGTAAGGTGATGTGTACAAGGAATAATTCGGTATTATTATTATTATGGGAAAACATAACACATTAATTAACTGATTTATCAAGGCGTGTATATACTGTTGAATTAATTTGTCATTTAAGAATCACATCATACTACGTCAACTTGTAGATAGATTTAAGTAGTCCGATCAAATCCACTTTGAATAAGTCATTGTCGGCAAAAAGTAATAATAATAATAATAAATTACTTACTAAATAACCCCCAGTTGCTTGAGCCAATAAACCGCCAAATGTTATGATTGGTGTTAAACAAGCAAAATAGAGGAAAATGAAACTTGCACAACATTGTACATGTATAGCATCTGTGAAATCACTGACATAATGCGGTGCACGACGTTTAATATCTTGTACTAGACCACCGAAAATGCTGAATATATATATATATATATATATATATATATATATATATATATAGAGAGAGAGAGAGAGAGAGGGAGAGAGAGAGAAATAGATGGATGAGAGAAGCAGAAAATATTCAACAATATAAGTATTATACAGCGCTTATCTTGGAGATTATAAATTGAATGATAAATGATTTGTTAAATTAATTTGAAATATGAAACACGTATTAGTATATTTGACAACGAGGGAGACCATAATTTATGGACGACGTTTGAACTACGTCAAAATACCATTAGGAAAATTCACCTACCTACTAGGGTCTAAAGAGGATTATAAATTAATGTGAGAAACCTTAATCAGAATTTAGAGACAAAAATTAGGCTTTCGAATTAGGGTTTGAATCAAGAACTGACATCAATTATAATGTTAAAATGCAATTTAGACATACTCATGAATGAAAATCTAAGGCTCTCTCTCTTAAGTCTGATTAGTTCATCAATCAAATAGTTTCATTTGACAAAGTGAAATATGTATGTACTTTCATTATATAATATATAATTTGCGTCACTTGTGGTATCGGGAGAATCCCATCTGTCAATCAAAAGCTGAGTATGCTGGCTCAAATTTAACTCTGTATTACTCTATGGTCGTCAACAACATGGTCTGTGAAATAATAAAACATGAATAGACTGTACATTTTCCGTTATTTCTCGAAAAATATTGTAGAGTGGTCGAGGGAGAAATCCTGACGTTAGTCATGAAGTAATGGTCAAAGATAGCAAATTGGTTGACGAGGATGTAGTTTTTTATCGACTAAGGACTACCACTCACCTCGAAAGATGTTTGCTAAAGTGGAAGTAGGGTGGAAGAAAGATAGGAGTGATCAAATCAGGACATACTATCAATCTAGAAAGTTATTGACCGTTCGTTTGTTCTCTATTGGTAAGTGAAGTTCACGTGTGGTGACCGTGATCATTGTTTGGGGACATTGAGTTATATGATTTTCAGGTAGTTGCAGTACGCCTAACCTCTAAACCACTGGACCGTGATCTAATAGTGTTAGTGTCTAACTTCAACCAATCCATAATATCTTGTAACTCTTCATGAAATGTCTGTGTAGGATAAATATCTCACATCCGACATGGATTAGACTCCACTAGTTGCGGCTTCCGATTGGAACTCCAGGAGTTATACCTTAAAGCTAGTCACTAGTGAGAATATGATTTTCACTTATTTAAGTAATTAAGGACACTACTTCAAACAAGCAATACCATACTGAATGACAAGTTATGTGAAATAAGTCTACAAACATATCTTCAATTATCAATTTTTTTAAAGCAGCAATGATAAAAACAGACAATAAAAGAAATCTCATTTGAATATAATTTTTATGTATGATTGATCATGCTGGTGAGCGGCCTATGCTCCTTCACGAGGAGTAACAGGCGTAAGTAATTAAGTAAGTACGTAAATTGATATAATGAGTGAGGCTAGAATTGATCATTATAATAATTGAAGTCATTAATTCTACTGAAGTGAGATGAATGACCGTTCCCTTAAGCTGTTGTTTATTTCTATTATTTAATGACTTATTATAATCATTTATCTAATGATATTATTGGCAAAATTAAGCTATGAAGGTGAGCTAATGATGATTGTATAAACCCCTTCAAGATTACAGAATATATATCACAAAATGGCAAGTCACTGTCCATTGACAATGGAATAGAAAATAGAGTTGGGTTTTAGGCTTTCACCATACTTTGATATCAGTTACAATGGATGAAGGCTTTGTAGACATACAGATGGAATGTGTTTGTGCAGAAATACAATGGATTCTATATTAAATCAACATCATAGATCAATCATTTATGGTTGGTACTTTTCGATTAACCGAGTGAGTTGAGAATTCCTCTTGGTTACCTAAGCCTATCGGTATTGTCTTTTGATCCCAAATAATTCTAGAAAGTTTATGTGAGTAGCCATCACTCAGCTACAGTTCATACCACGACATCATAGCTAACCAATCTGCATAATATTTCATCCCTTGAAAAATAAGGGTTATGGTTTCTGAACATTTTTATTTTATTGATAAAAGAGAGGGTCATTGTTCAGCTAGGTGTATGGAGTGAACAAGCCATTAGAGGATCGACTTTACAGTTAAGTCGTCAGATCAGTCAAGAGAATATAAGGGGGTTACAGTTTTGATGAAAAACATACCGACCAGTTCGATTTAATGCTGGATCATCTCCATGACCCCCACCACCACCATGGTCGTCAGAACCACCGCCAGACTCGATATTTGTCAATTCTAAACGACTGCCAGTACTTCGTGCAAGATCAGTTTTTGACTTGTGTATTGAATCACTTTGGCCAATAGGTTTGGTAACCCCATCCACTTGTTGACTACGTGGAGTAGCATTACCTACGGCGGCTAAACAAAGACTGGCAAGTTTATCTCCACCAACATGAAGTTGTTCAACAACTGCTACACCAGGTTCAGAAGTAGTAATTTGAGGTGGGATCACAGTTGACTGAGGGCCATTACTGACCGTCGTTTTTCTACTGTCCTTTAATGAAAAAAGAGAGAAAGAACAGGGTTGTAGGATGAAGAACATAAACAAAAAATATATTGAATCAATCTTCCGATAAATTCAGTAGTCCAATTAATCCAAGAAAAATAAAATAAACAGTTTATAAAGATAATCGGAAGCGTATTATAGTTCTCAACAATGACCAGATAGTAGATAGAAAAAAATTGTCAGTAAGGGAATGTGGCGATCATTTAATTTTATTGAGATCATGAACCGATCAATGTTAGACTAGCACAAAGACAGCTGGTAGCGAGGACATTATAATAAAAGAGGAAATTTCCTGAGTTCTAGTGAGAAATCGTGATCAATAGAACTTTGTTAGGTCTGAGGCAATTACCCATCGAAGTCAATGAAAGATGGTTGCAAAACATTGTAGATTAATTGAAGTTAAACAATAACACGGTTTGATCATGGTTCAGTGGTCTAGAGGTTAATCGTTCACGTGCCAAACTGAAGGTCTTGGTTTCATTGTCCACGTACTGGATTGTGGATATGCACTGTTGAGAAATCACATAGTAGAACGAAACGATCATCAAGTGTTTCCAAGTTTTCAGTGGTGGTGTAACATTGATCGATTCGTGAGTTTTATTTTAAATCGTTTGTTCATAAAAATGTAACACTAAATGATAGCTGTTTCTTTCTAATTCTCGATCTCCCCTCATAAACCAGTATACATGAGATTTTAGATAGGATCATAATTTCAAATTGTAAATAATCACTAAACCAAATAGAAATTAAACACATTTGTATACTGACTTATATTAATTTGTGACAAACATGAAATATTAACTATTGTACCTAATGTCACAATCATTTTGCGTTCATCAATAAATCTAAAAGTCGAGATTCCGATTTGTTAGCGATAGTCATTTATATGTTTTGTGATTTGAACTTGTAGCTAGAAAGAGCGAAGAATAAGTTCATTTACGTGACTAATGTCACGTTTACAGAGTTTTATCATGAGAACCTCCAACCACTCAATATCAAAACTTAATGTACACGATGTGGAACCTCTTCAACTTGTGACCACATTGCAATATGACCGAATGAAGTCGTCTGGCAACAATGAAGGACTAGACAAAAATAACATTGATCACCACTCAATGAAATTTCGATTTTCATATATGATCGTGGCACAATTCGAGTGATCTGATCAAACTGAAATAAGAGGAAATTAGGCTTCAATGTCACAATTTGTTGATTGGAACTTATATAAATTTAACATTTGAATAATCAGACACTCCTTTTTATTATCCAATAATTACTCAAGTGATGTTAATTAATAAGTGAATCAATTTTTTCCGACAGAAAAATTTTTCTCAGAAAAAAACATTTCATCTTTTGACAATCAAAAATAATTTGGCTCAATCACTGACTGACAAGAGACGAAAATAAATATGCTGACATATATATATATATATATATATATATATATATATATATATATATAATTTGTCTAGACTATAGAGTTGATTGAATTCTGCTGATCAATATGACTAGATTATTCTATGTAACACAACATTAAGCGGTCTGTATATCGATGAGGGATTTTCGGAGTCAAGAAGTTGCATAGTAGTTTTCACTTGTTGGTAATGTGTATTTTATTACTTCACTGAATGAGCAATGCTGAGGTTAGGTATAGGATACAAAGTAAATATGACGAATAGATTGATGAGGTATTAAACCTTTATCAACGTGGGTGGTTGTGACATGTGTTATGCCCAACACAGCCTATCTCGATGGGCGATGCTGTCTGTTGTAGGAGTAGGTAGAGGAAATTTAGTGTCCGCGAAACCAAGATATAACATCAGTCCATGAACATATCAACCAATGGACTGAGCCATGTAGGTAGGTTCAGACTACTTGGTTTGGGTCCGCACGATTATCGTAACCAATGGTCGGAGACTTAATGTGAAATGGCTCAGAATCGTTAGCAACAATGGGATGGATTCACCTTGCGTCTTAGAATCTGAGTACCTAAGTTTCCTCATACCTTTTCTCCTTTTCTATATCCAGTATTTTCTGCTATTAATAGTATTGTTACCATTTCTACTATTCTGGAATTTGCCATGAAATCATTTTATTTGCCTGATCTAATGTATGAGAACTTGAACCGATTCACATGTGTGGGGTTTTACGTTGCATATGGGTGACTGACCTGTTAATTAACCTATGAAATTCAAGTATAACGTTATGTAATTTGAAAACCAAAAGTGAAGAAATATGTAACGACCAGTTTTCGTATACTATTTACGGTTGCTCAAACTGATTTAAATGGAATTAAGTTCAAACCATGCAGTCGAATAATTAGAAGTTTAGAAACTTCAAATGTTACACAATCCCGTTCACATAATGTTAAAGCCCAAAGCCGCCAATCAGAAGCAGCGAATTATCGATCAGACCAAGGACGCGTAAATCACATGCGAGCAGCTTAGAGTTCTGATTGGTCCAGCTTTCCGCCTAGCCCTGCCAATTAAGTCCAGAACACCAATCTCACCCTCTGCAATTTGAATCTTTATATTCCAAACTTACTTAGTTTATATACCAATCTAACACACCACAACGTAACACAAAATAGAAAATAACATTTGTACAAAATTTGGCCAAATGTGGCTGTGAATGTGGGAGGTAGTGACTAATAGACAGGGCGTAATTCAAGAATGGCAAAACGTATAATAATGCTTCTAGGTTAAAATAAAGTTTATAATAAAAGGAATATGAATAGTTTAGTTATTTAACAATTATACGATAAAAATATACGTTTAGTATTGGTTCATAAAAGGATCCCAAAGTTACTATTCATTATGTTTATCGGGACCTAGCACATAAGTAACTAGAGTATGCTCGTTTCACAATGTATTGCATTCAGTCAATAATTAATTAATATATTAAAACCATGAACCGATCAATGGTACACCACCACTGAAAACTTGAAACACTTGATGATCGTTTCGTTCTATTATGGCATTTCTCAACAGTGCATATCCACGATCCATTACGTCGACAATGAAACCAAGACCTTCAGTTTTGGCGCGTGAACGTTTAACCTCTAGACCACTGAATCGTGATCAAACAGTGTTATTGTTTAACTTCAATTAATCTACAACGTTTTGCAACCATCTTTCATTGTCTTCGATGGCTAATTGCCTCAGAACTACTAGAAACCTGGAAATTCACCCCCAAAGCTAACCACCACCTAATTAGTGACGATTATTACTGATCATTTATCACACTGAAAAACTACAGTGCGGTGATGGCTTAGTGGTTAACGTAAGTCAATTTGCAATCATCAGTAAGTCGAGCAGGTTCAAACTCCACTTCTCCGTCCGTTTTGGTTTAAACAGCTAGATAACGATTTCCCTAGCCCTCTCATTCTCCGACGCATACAAACAAAAGAGTATAATTCAAAGATGAATAAAGAAATAACTTTTTTTATCGAATAAGTGAATTCTATTAAAGCATTTAATGTGAACATCTACAAGTTACACTTATTGTATAAAGAACAGTAACGTCAGATGGTTGGCGGGAGTACACAGAAAACACCTTGTTAATGAATTCCGAATGGGAAGAAATCTAGGTCTAGGGTATCCTACTGACTACCTATAATCACTTAACATTCCAAGATAGTGCTTGTAATGTTGGTCCACTTAGATTAATAGAGGTCACATTGTGAGTTGATGAACAGAAATCAATATGTACTAGACAGGATTAGACAAACATGACATTGGTTACTACTACTCAATAGTCAACCAGTTGTCAACACATCAATAAAATTTCAATGGTCGAGGTCATGAGTTAGTTGAAACTAGACCACCATAGAAAACCTGGAAACGACCATCCACAAAAGCCCTTCTGACATCAATAAAAGGTGAAAATTTATAGATCGATCAATGAGAGTATATTCAGTCTCAAAACATTTATCCCAAGTGATACAAATGACATTGTTTGTTCTCTCCTACACATAACAGAAAATTAACTATCAAGTTAAAAATATGATCAAGGGATAGACAATTTCCTGTCATATTCATATAATAATTAAATACTATTATGTATGTGAATCAATAACATTTAATGATTTTCTATCTTAGTAAAGTTTATCGAGGAATATTTTTCACAATAAAACAGAAATAAATTCACTTAGTATTGTTTACTTGAATATTCCCATTGATGTTTAGCACTGGAATTGATCAGTCCATTATTGGCAAATGTGCATACTATGAGTATTGCCTCGATATTGTCTTAATTCACAAGCATTATAAGCAAAGATGGATAGTGGCTAGCAATGAAATCCAGGACGCGCGTTTCGTCCTATTTAGGACTCGTCAGCTGGATGTACCTGCATCTCAGAGTTCATGTTATTATTATTATTATATTTTATGAAGGACATTGTTTAATTTGTAAAAATAGTTTTGTAAAGAGATTTTTCTTTGTATTCAGCTGAGTTGACAACATAAAGCGAGTATGGGATAAATGTTTCTTCGTACTTTTGAAATTGACGGTGTCAAACCTTCTCACAACATGAAATCGAAGCCAAAGCATTTAACTTTTTTTAAATAAAATAATACTATAGGTCGTTGTATCATTATCTAATAGTTCACAATTTGAATTTCAACCAATTCATAATAAAACGAAATGATTACTGGATAACTTTCTAAGTAGAGTTGGATGATGGCTATCAGTGGAATGCGGAACACTTGTTTCATTGTAGTTGGGACTCATGTACTTTCAATAAAGTGTTGATGTTCACGCCAGGACTCGAAGAAAGTAACTTTTATTTCAAACGCTATTACGTTATCCACTTAGCTAATGAATATATACAACCATTAGTTTGTGAAATGGGATGGATACATCCTGGATTACCTTACTAGCTACTATCTAAGAAAGCAAAATAATTGCAGTAAGGGATTCATCATAGATGAATCAATTGATCTATACCTTGACAAAAAGGGATACAACACAAAAATGTGGTTCGTTTTTATTTCCTACTACATTCTGAATTAATTAATACATTAAATGAGAAAGTGCAAAATGAAGCACGAAGTGAGTAGGAAAAGGTGACATAAATATCAGTGTTTAGAGGTTAGACGTTCGCGTGCGAAACTGAAGGTCCTGGACTCGAGTCGCGCGTGCGCGATCATGAATGAGCACCGCTGAGTAGTCCCATATTAGTACAAAACGGTCATCCAGATGTTCAATGACGGTCTAGCTTAGATCAACTCATGAGTTCAACTGTTAAAAATTAAACAGATGAAATAATTTAGCATAAAAATATTTGTGAATATACTTCAATTGATAGTTTAACATTAAGAATTGACTTAAGCTAAACAAATATAAGAAACTAAGGAGAATTTTTTTCAAAAAAACACAGCCCTTTTATTCTGATATGAGAATTTATTGAAATCTATTTATTTACAACTTTTGAAGTAAAGGAATTATCAAAGAATTATTTACTCTTTAATTTTATACAATGCAGTAACTAGCGATTATATTGATTATGGTATTCTGACTGGGGAATCGATGAATAATTTAAGAGCAGAAATCGATATAATGAAGGGTTACAATATGACTTATACAGTTTAGTATATTTAGTAAATTGGTAAAATGCGATTGTTAAAACATTCATTTTAGACTATTTAAACCGCAGCAAAAATACTGTCTATTCGTAAGAATACCATTTATTGGTCTTAACTCTATTTCGGTTGATCAATTTATTCAGTTTCTTACTTATTTCATGTTTGCTTAACCAATATTTTGCTAGAAGAGAGGGTAAAAACATTTTCTCTTTAATTAGTATATTAACTATCATCCAAACGGTGAATTGATAGTTGAAGATAATAGTTAAGCTGAAGCAGTCCAATTTTTTCTTCAATACAGAAATTCAAAAGTTGTCCTAATCTTGAATCATCTTAGTAGTTTTCATACCCATCAAAATTAAGAACAAATTTCTATAGAAAATTGCTTTCTCTCATGCACTATTTTCATGAAACAACAACACCTAACATTTCATGAGAATCCTAGGAACTACTTCCCATTTCAATAAAAAGAATTCACTATAGATTAAGCTGTATGTATTATCAGAAAAAACATCTATTTACTCATCACATCACTCTTTTTAGTTGATGAATATCAATTAATCGGAAATATCCAGGACAGTCTAATATAAGTAGTTGTAATAATCAATTTTTAATACTTAACCGAACAGATACATGATAAACATAATAATCACACATAATTCCCATTTAAACATTACAAACATGAAACTTCAAAGAATAGATCTCGTCTCAGTAAATTTCTTATCAAGCTGTACAACAATATGTGCAAGTATGTATAAAGAACAAATATAAAAATTTAATAGAAAGATTATTATACTCGATTACGCAATGTAAACAATAACAATAAAAGGTTGTAGATATGCAAAAATATCCACCTTACTCTTTCATTATTTTTCATATCCACATAGTTTTATTCATAACTGTCTCTGATATTACCTTATTACTTTTAATTATTTATAATGAAATACTTAGTAGTATAACTCCGCCTGGAGTCCTTCCGGGGGCTGCTGCCGGTCCCAAGCCCGGATAAAGCAGAAGGGTTTCGCATGGGGTTAGTGACCCCATCCCGTAGAAAACTAACGCTGACCACAAAAAAAATTATTCGAACTTAATAGTATTGTACAGCTTAATAATAAATTCATTTGAAAACAGATCCATTCATTGAACTTTGTGTTTTTTTTTTAATCACAATCTCTTACAAATAATTATTAGAAGGCAAAAAACAATTGTGAGTGAATAAAATATAAACAAAACCCCAAAACAACAATACTGATTATATATTGAAAGATGGGATAAAAGATTCCATGAATATTTCAATGAAATAGTTATTAGACAAAAACTTAATCGATCAATAGAAGTGTTAATATCCTCTGTGTCAGTTAGTAAAATATCACAGGCAATAAATGTATACATAGGCATAGACGATAACATACAGAATAGGGTAGATAAATGATAGAAATAACTAGAGACTATTTCAACGAGATAAACAACGGGATAAAATTGGCAAAAGACTGATATATATATATATCGACTTAAAGAAGGTTAGAAGGAAAGATAGAGTGTGTGTGTGTGTGTGTGTGTGTGTGTGTGTGTGTGTGTGTGTGTGTGTGTGTGTGTGTGTGTGTGTGTGATTGAATCAAATGATGGAGAATGGTAAGGGAAGACAAAAAATACAAAATGTATAAATCGATGAGCTAAAATAAAATCTTATTATATCACACAACAATAAAACAGTTTGCCTACATTTTTTCCCCTCTTAAAAAACATATATTTAAATTCGAAATATGTTGGATTATACGTGTATGCGCATATATATGTTTAATAAAGCTTCAATGTCGTCAAAGTGGAGCATAATTTTTTTCATCCTTATTTCTTTACTATGAAGAGTTTCTCTTTGTTTTTTTTTGTTGGTTTTTCAAGTGATTTACTGAATTTTCAGAGGTAATTTTAATCAACTTCAGAAATATGTATGATGTATTTTATCCTGATGAAAATATTTTCTAATTTTGCCTAAGTACTTAATGTTCTGATGATACTCGTTAGATTTTCTTTTGAGGATGGAGCGGGAAGAAGTATGGGTCAACATGTACCATTTGTGGGATTTTATATATATATATAAACAATAATCTCTCAATGGATTAGAAATCAATCCAGAAAATCAATCAATCGATTGATCATTGGCAGATAGATTAGTTTACTTTAATAATATATAAATGAGTATTAAAAGCAAAATAATCAGGTTGTGAACTCATGTATTTTTATCGATTATGGAAACTATTAAAAACATGTAAATTGAATCAACTAGTTTTATGTAAGATGAACGATATAGGAATAACGATTAACATTTAGAGGTTTTTATCAACCATTCAAAACAATGGAGCGTTGGACAGTCGTTTTGTCATTCATATAAGAACACTTCATAAAGATTGAATCAAGGACATTTTGACCACACGAAGAGCACTTTATCATTAAACAACTGAGTTGGCATGAACTGGCTAGTATTTCTAACTGTATTCAATTTTAAGTAAAGACTGAAGATTTATGAACTTTCTGCCTGAAGTCTTAATTAAGATGATTTGAAATTGGTCGTAATAATGCCCATGAATCTATTGTTAATAATTTTTGAGTAATTAAAGATATCAAATATTTAAAAAATGATAAATAAAGAAAGAACTAGCTTACTTGTGATGGAACTGATGCTGGTGGTTCAATACGAATTGATGGATCCCACTCACCAGGTGGTAAGACAGTTGCAGCGCTCAAGAATTCATCTAAGCCGGCTAACAAATCTGTTCTAGATCGAGCCTTGTAAGCAACATCATGAAATACCTAGACGAAGATAATTTTTAAAATGAGAGAAAATGGGGAATATGATGTTACTTATCTATGTATTTAGTAGTATATTTATGTTAATTTGTCATTATAACTTGACCGAATAAACAGATGTACCTCAAGAACGATTATCTCCTACAACAACGCTTAGACGATTATCGTGATGCTGGTAATTTAGTCCAGAATTGATCAATCCAGCATCGCAAATCAACAAAATGAACTTCTCATTCATTTTAGTGAACAGTAACTGATCAAGTGTTACTAACGTATAAATTTAATTTATTCCTTCAGAATTCCTTTGTTGAAAGGTACTAACTAAATGAAAATCGAAGTCAATACAAGTTATGCTTCCCGACTACCTCCAGGCATCTGATGTTAAAACCTGGTGCATACATTATCAAGTTACTTGAACTGGTTGGCCCAGATCGCACTTCGGTCAACCAGAAAAATGCACCATCGGTCGCTGGTAAGGGATTAATCAATGTATTAAGCTGTCATTATTTTATCAATCAGTACTTCAACATTCATTTCTAAAACCTAAGAAAGTAATCTCAGTGATTGGTCAGTTTATTTTCAGAATTAGTTCAAAAATAATGGAAAACTACTACCTCGTTGGGATCGCTTTGATAACACCGGTTATTGGTTAGAGATGTCGGGTGACACACCCCAGAATCATTCACAATGATCCAGATGCATTTAATTTTCATCTTCTTGTCTTTCTGAGTTGTATTCTCAAAAATTAAACTTGCTCATTATCGCTGCTACTATATTATCTCAATCTCTTTTGAAATCTCGCAGACCAAATATCATCAAAATTAATGATGTATTGGTTAGTGGCTTTACTACAGTGTATTTATGTTTTAAACTCATGTTACAAAACAATTTTTTCCATAAATTCATCATATATAGAATTTGGAATATTACCAATTTACAGGGAAAAAAATACAACTTTACTTCATCGGACATAAGTACACCCATGGAACGACCAATTTCACGATATTTAGCTGCATTACCTATAGTACCCAGATGTATAAACAGAAATCTTGTCGGTACTGGTACTTCAGTGAGATCACCAAGTAAAACAGCCTCTTTTAAACGAATGAATACAGTGATTTGTGTTGTTAAAAATGTTGTTTCACCAACAAGTATATTGGAAGTCTCTGATCCAGGTGCAATTTTTTTCAAGAAATGTAAATCATACTGAAAGAAAATATAAAACATCACAGTGATTATGATGATGATTAGGATGATAATTGGTAACTAAAAGAGGTTATTGTAAGACCGAGAAATATACGTTGTAAGTTTTTTTCTTTAGGGAGATTCGAACTCAAGGGGATATAAATCGAAGAGTTGAATGACAATGAATACTTTGACTCTCGATATATATATAATTTTGGTTGTTAGCGTTCAGGAGGAGTCTTTGAGGATACATCATATCGAATTTCATTTACCGAGGTGAGGAATTTCCCTCTGATCTTTCATGGCATTCTGATTTTCTACTAATATGGGAGAAAGTAAGCCTTCTGACTTGTTACTTAGAGAAGCTACATGTTTCGGCTTCATTCGACATCTATTTTTATTTAAAAACTTTTTTCATATTACCTGTTACCCTTTACTGACCCCCATAATTCTTTCCAGGGATGTTGAGAAGAAATTCATTACTGTATCTCGGAGACTATTAAAAGAATTTATCAAGGTATGTGGTGAATCTTTAGATGTGATTATGAATATGGTATAGGATAGATGTTTGAAATCTTGCACACTATTAGTAATTGTCATTCTATCAGATACGAACCATCTACCTCATATTTACACCTTTCACCTTGTGTGTCTTCTGGTAGAACAAGACACTAGTATATTAGAAGCTGTGCACCTAGGCAAAAGTATATGTATGCTAATATATTATTATTAGTGTCTAAGCTGCTTCTACTCATCAATGCTTTCTTTACTCAGTAAATCCACCGCCCTGGACAATTTTGACAAACTGATTGTCTCCACCACTGTTTCTTCAATAGACTGAGGACTTCTTCACAGTGAATCAAAATGATGGTCATTTCGATTCTTCTGTAACTAGTCGAACTGATTAGACCCATTCAGATGCAGACACAGATAAAGCAGAGTTAGTGCATGATCAGAATCTAAGTAGGCACTTCTAACAGAATGACGACTGTTCACAGATCTCCTCTCCATAAATAACCAATGACAATAAGATCTATATGTGTCGATTATTTGATTAACATCGAGAACAATCAAGTCAAATATCTTTCTTAAAACATATAAAATTAGCGTTCCACTATGAAAACATGATTTGTTCATCTTAAATTTTTAACAAAACGATTACTGATATCAAACTATCAGTAGAATATATGTAAGTCGAACAATTACAAGGAATAGTGAATCAATTACAGTGATTTAATTTAAGTTTTTGAACATATCAGTAAATTATAAATAATATCCCAATGAGTACAAAAATCAAGTTCTTTTTTTAATTTTCTGATGTTTCATGACCCAATGTAATCCACTTCTTCAATAAATTGATACTGATTAAAGTACTATCTTCAAAACTCTTAATCTGTTTTACAAACATACACAGTTAGAATAAGGGGTTTTATATAGATTATAAAAATTTTTTAATAATTCAAATCATGAATTGATCTTAGCTAGATCATTATTGAAAACCAACAGCATTGAACAATTATTTTGAATGGTGGTTTAGTTCAGATCAGTTTGTGATTTTCAACTATAAAGTCTTGACGATCTCCACAAAATCCCTTTACATAAAATAATTCTATGCTGACTAGTGACTAGGTTCAAGATACAACTCATGGAATTTTAGTGAGAAGCCATAAGCATCAGAGTTAAACCATGTTGAGTGTGAGATAATTGTCTTTTTTTAGTCATTGATATTACAAACGAAAGAAACAAGAACTGAGTTAAATGGTTATAAATTTATCATGTTAATTTTGCCAATACAATTTTAGAACACTTTTCACGGTGGCAGTGATAATACCCAGTCGTTTAAACTGGACTAGACAGAACAGCGTATGGAACTTACAAATCCATTGAGTAAAAGTCCAAGTGTTTAAACCACACAAATCATCTTTTTATGCTGAGAAACACCCGTTGAGTTTAGAAAATAAAGCGAAATACGCTAGAACGATTTGTCATTACTGTGTGATAAAGGATGAAATAAAACTCAATGGGCTGGTGGTTTATAAGGTAAATGGATTGTGGTAAGCAGTGGAATGTAGGATGTGTGTTTCGTTCTATTCGGGACTCATCATTTGCATATACATACAATGTAGTGTTAATATTTAAATGGATACATCCTGACGGCTAGTTACAAATAGTACAAAATAAACTTTCTCCTGACTCCATTGCTAATCACAATTCATTTATTCGATAAAACTTGTGACAAGATAGTTATTTTAAGATAGTTTGCTTTTTGATGGAGTTTTGTTCTCTGAGCTGGATGGTTTGGTCGTGAAGCTTTCATTAGAACGATGAAAGCTTCACGACCAAACCATCCAGCTCAGAGAACAAAACTCCATCAAAATCACCCACCTAAGCTACAAATCTTCTCCACCATCTCAAGATAGTTTGCACAGGCAGCAGTAAACGGATTTCAGCCAGTACGTTGTATATCTAGCCTCTTCATCACCTAATTTAGTTCTGATCAGCCAAATGGTGACATTAACCACCATTCATTTACACACACATACATAGCAGCATATATATTTATATGTATACATGTATAGCTATAGCTCGAAATTGAGTGCATAAACCAATGCACTTAATCAAAACTATAAATCAAATCAACTTGTTATGTAAATTTTTAACGACGATAGGTAAATTAGAGAGAAAAGAAATACTTATGATTATTAATAAGACAGAGAGAAAAAAAGGCTAACAACCGCACCCAAAAAGTACTAATGACGCACTTGGAAAAATGTATGGAGAAAAATAAGTAGTGGGCAAACAATAAAGACAATAATAAATAACTTGAATGTACTAGGATTGTCTGTCAAGTGAGTACGTATACACATACATACACACACACACTATATATATATATATATATATATATATATATATATATATATATATATATATTATTACTATTATGACAAGGTTACCAAAAGAAAACGATTTGGGCAACAAGCTATCATGTTTATGTATGTGTGTATGTATGTATGTATAGATAGATAGATAGATGGATAGACAGAATATTGAAAATGTTCACATCCTAGTAAATCAATACAAGTAATGGTCCTAGTCACAGTAGTAGTATTAGTAGTGGTACTACTAGTATTAGTAATAAATGTTCTTTGGTCTGTCTTGAAAGAAGCTAATTGACGAGAAAAAGAAACAGTGAGAGAGATAATTGTAAAATATCCTACGGAATTAATAATCATAATATACTTTGTAGAGGATAGTAGAAAGGAATTGAAACAGTATGAAGTTGCATAGTACACAGACGACAATAGTTGAAAACTGTAAGAATTTAAATTTATTATTTATTAATATTACTGTTGCTCAGTCATAAACGACGTAGAACCCGGTACCTATCTTTGATCAGTTCAGTCCGCCAGACGATATCAGCACAAAGAGATGAAGTCATCCAAAAAATCCCAGATTAGTAGTAACGGTATTATTAATGTTAATAATAGGAAGGATTAGACATGAACAGAAAGAAGAATAAATTTGTGGAGTAAAGAGTGTATAATAATTTTAAACTCAAGATCTAAAAGGAAAACGAAGAGTGAATGGATCTGCACTACTGTGACCGATTCTGAACCGTGTCAACTAACATTTTCATTTATTAGTCACGAAAATCATGAGGATTTCAATCCGGCAGTCTACAGCTGCCAATAAGGTTCAACGCAAAAATCAATAACTTTATGAACTGATACTTCGCATAACTTTGAATCTCCTCCTAGCGTTCTTTCAACTTACACCCATATCAGGAAATACTGAGGGCTGAGATACGCAGTAAGTGGTTGAACATGTGTAATATATGTCATAACCATTTCAGCCTAAGAAAATTCATAACCTCATCAATCGATTTACAATCTTTACGTAGTATCCTAGGTCTACGACAGTATTTTCCACTCAGTGGTCCTAACCTAATCAACTAGCTAATTATAATTTTCTAAGATGATATCAGTGCTTATGATGGAAATTCATCTCCTCAAGCTATACAGATATTTCTACTAGAACACCTTGAATAAGTTCAAATGAATTAGATCTTCACTACAACTGACAATAATCTATTGCATACCCAATTTATCAATCAATTAACCGTAAAGTTTTATGGTATCGAAAGTAATTAGATATTCTATATTAAACAGATAATATATGGTTATTAATAGTATGGGGATTTTGGAACTGTCTTAAGCTTCATTGAAATCATGAATTAATTTAAATTAGACAACCATTGAGAACCTTGAAGCACGGAATACTCCGCTTCATAATAATCTGTGAATATATGAATTAAAATTTAAAAACAAAAAATAAACCCAACAGGGTGTATAATCTACCTACACAAAAATAATAACCAATTGTATTATTTTACAAATTTCATTAGCTGAAATAATTGCAAGTTATAAGTGATTGATTAAATGTACAATAGTTAATAAGATCGATTGGTAGGTTCCATTTACATGATCTAAATGGGTTTAATATTACATTATTAATGACAATCAACATTATTCTGTCTTCCAGTATGGATTCATTTAATATATGAAGTAAAGGTATAAATGCCATTACAGATCATATTTCATAGCTATGGAGTAATACAGAGTAGATTACTGAGTAGTATACTCTCGTCTTCTTTGGTAAACGGGCAATTCTCCTTTACTACAAGTAGCAAAAGTTTTTAACATTAACACATCAAAGCTGATGAAACTTCCAGGATAAATGAAGTGGTTAATGAGCTCAACAGCTTCATTTTCTATCAGTAGTTTAAAGGTTGTTGTAGATCAGTCGTGCAACGAGATTTTGCATTTAGAAAGAGAGAAAAGTATCCTAAACATTCTTGTATTGTTGCTCAAGACGATCAGAAGATTTTTCATTTTATCAGTCTTCATCTGAGCATTCGAATTCGATAAGCGAAGCTCTTGTGAGGAAGAAGGGCATGAAATTACAGCGAATAATTCAAATATTTATCAGTCTCAAATGTAGAATGTACAATATATCACTGAGGTTGGCTTATAATATCAACTGACAACAGCTAAGGAAATATGAGGAACGAAACAGAACTAGAAAGGTAATTTATTACAGCTGGGATGAACCAAGGCCCTATTAATCCCAATCTCAAAAATCACTTTTGTTTACTTCAACAATAGCAATGACAATAATAAATATATTCAATAATAACTTATTTCAAGATGGATTCCCGCAATTCAGTGGAAAGTAATGACGTGTGAACTTTAACCAAGTTAAAATTGTGACAAAAATATCAGCGATAAACTGAATGATTATTACTATACAAAGTACGCACTTACTCAAGTTATAAATATGCAAACAGTAGTATTCATTCAACTCAGTTATCTAAATGTATCACGTTGTTGCCAACAAATTTAAAAGTCATAAAATGGACTTCTAGCAATGTAATAGATTGCCATAAAGATAAGTAGAATTTCAAGCAAGACCAAATTAGCTGTTTAGTGTGCCCTTAAGCGTTACAAAATGTTTTTCATTCTGATAGTCTATGAAAATCGAACATTAAATTAAACAAATAAAATTTTCTCATGATCTAAAGTAAGTAATGATCCTAGCTAGACCACCATTGAAAATCTGGAAAAACTGGACGACCGTATCATCTGAGTGTAATACACTTCAGAAGTGCGCATCCACGACCTCACCACCGAGAATCAAAAGCAGGACTTCCATTCGCCTGTGCAAACGATCAACTCTCTGGACTACTGAACCGGCATACAATGATTTACATGTCTAACTTAAATCAACCCACAATATTGAGCAAGCATCTTCTAGTGTCTGCAATGGATAACTCCCTCACACCCGACATGTTTTGACTTCACCGGTCACGGGTTCTCTTTAGAACTACAAGAGTAGAATTTTGAAGTTAGTCTTTAGTGAAGACAAGATTAATATCAGAAAATAAAATATTCATAAAATAGCAATCTATTCATAAAAATTTAACAAGTCATTTAAATGACTTACTTTCCCTTGTAAACTACCAGACATTACTTCAGATGGTCCAGACGGTTGTGCTTGTGCATGAGCTGTAATGTGTGCAGCTGTAGCCGGATCCAATGAATCCATTCCAGTTAATGTAGGCATTTTAGCTAGCGATGTATAAGGTGCTTCTCCAGCTAAATAAAAAAATTATGGTTTAGGTAAAACAGTGACTTCCTACTGTTCAAATAAAATAATTTAGAAAAAGTGGAATATAATTAAGTAGAATCCTGAGAAAACAAACCAATGAATTTCAGTGACCCTATAAATAAGTTCGAATCGATGGTCATGTTTGTCTAATCATTTAAATCTGTTGATTGGATTCTATGGATCAAGTTGCAATATGGCCACCACGTTGAAATGTGTTTTGGAATATTCATCGGGAAACCTTAATTAACTAAATTTTCGTGCTAGTTGAACATGTCAGGAAAGGATAGCTGCAATCTTGTGAGACCTAAGGGATTCTAACACATTGCTTTACACTCTGAGACACTACTATTGAAACACTATTTGGATTGCAAATGATATCTTGTAGGACAGATATTTACATTAATTGGTCACTGAGTCGTGGCCACTATTATATTAGTCTGGTTCTTCAGTGTTGATCGGATTTTATTGATAAGTTCTATTTATCAAACCCTAGAGTATTGTTAGCTGTCTCCAACCATCTAGAATGATCCACGTTGGGAACAGATTATCTAGAAGGGAATATAGTTAAACTCTAGATCACTGAACCGGCATCCAGTGGTTAACACGTCTAACTTCAACCAACCCAAAATCTTGCGCAACCGTTCATCCTTTGTCTGAGATGGATGAATGTCTCACATCCGACACGGACTGAACTTCATTGATCACGACTTATCACTGGAACTCCAGGAGTTACACGTGACTGCGAGGTCGTGGATGGTTACTACTGAGCAGTGCCTCACTAGGAAGAAAAGGCCGTCCAGTGCTTCCAGGTTTTCAATGGTGGTTCACTTCATATCAGTCCGTGATTTCGACGGTGAAAATACTATAATCTCCACAAATCCTCTATATCAATAACAATTATAAATTGTCACTGAATGAAATCTGTCAACTAATCTAGTGTGATAAAGTAATGAAAAACCTCAAAATATATGTCCATTGGTTCAAGTTGTCACAGTATAAAACCAACACGGAAACATGAAAATATCAAGATAAATGACATAGCAGTAGAGACAGTAAAAGTATTCGTGATAATAGGGAGGCTTAATTATAGACAATATGATTCAAAAGAATGAATTTATGCAAAAAAATGTGTAAATACTTTAGGGTAAAGAGTGAATAGATTTGCGCTATTGTGATCAATTCCAAGTCATGTACCCCAATATCTTCAAACGTTAGTTACGATAATCGAGTGTACCCTAAATAATCTTAACTTGATTCTACACAGCTCAATACAATAATGATATCATAGACTGATACTATAAATTATCACCCATGATAAATATCGTTTTACATCAATATTCAATGCACAATATGCTGTACATTGAAATTGATTAAATCCCCTCAAATTAACAGACTGTAATAGTATTTGGATAGTGGCTAGCAGTGGAATCCAGGACGCACGTTTCTTCCTATTTGGGACTCGTCAGCTGGATGTACTTGAATCTCAGAGTTGACGTTCGCTCTGGGACTCGAACCCAGTACCATTCGCTTCAAACGCCATCGCGTTATCCACTCAGCTACTGAGTCCTGATAGCCACTTGCTTGTGCAATGGGGTGAATTTGAATTCACTGGATTCAACTGCTAACCACTATCCATCATTGCTTACAAATAGCTTGTGAATTAAGGTAATATCGAGGTATACGCACAGTATGCACATATGCCAATAACAGACTGATCAATTGCAGTCTTAAACCTCAATGGGAAGATACAAGCCAAACAATACCAAGTGAATTGTAATAGTGTTTTGTTAAACAAACAATTATCTCCCTTTTGAAAATAACCTCAAATCATAAAAACATAAGCTTTTATAATGTACAAAATGTAGTACAATCTAATCTATTTTTATTTTCATTTTTCACGAAAATTTATCCGAACAAAATTAAAATAGACAAATAAAAATGGAATTGAACATTGAAATATTTCATCTTCCTCTTTTCTATATTTTCCCTTTCCTATGTATATACGTTTATCTATCTATCTATCTATCTATCTACCAATCAATCTAGTTATCCAGTTCATTAAACACCCATAACAATAACAACAAAACAAAAGAGACAAGAACATCAAGGATAAGCAAATATTCATGCTGTGCACTTTAACGAAGTACAAATAGAAATTGATTTTGACAATAGAATACTAAAGCAATTATTTTTGCATTATCGATTTCACGTCAAATATATGATAAAAAATAGTGGAGAATTAGTAGTCGATTAGTAAAAAATGATGATGATGTGGGGATTTAAGAGAAATGTTAGATCCGAATCATCAAGGATTTGGATTTTTTCCCTTAAAAAAACCTACCTTCATTACAGAAGTGAATGACAGAAGAGGAACATAGCTGAATGTTTTGGTAGTGTTGAGAAAATGGGGAGAGTTATTTCTCCTCTTTGAGACACTCGCATGCGGTTGGACGTTTATATCCTCTTTCAAGGAAATTCCACAGACTGTCTTCATTAAGTATGGGTGTTTCCTCAAAAGCGAGATTATGGTAAGTAAATACCGGATGATTCAACCTGGCTGGTAGATACAGTGGACTTCAACCTGGGAGTTGAAAAACGTCGATTCCAAAACACTATTTCACATGACGTATGAATCTATTGTAGTCACTGCTTACCACAGAGTTGTATTTCTCTACTTTATATCACTGTTTTGTGAACCGGGAGAGGGCCCTAGCAAAACCACTTGCCATAGTTTTGATGTCCAGATGATATCCCACTACTTAAACAAGTATTGATTTTCTCAACAAATTGAATTAGTGATAGGACTCATTAGTTTGTACAATACTAGTCACCAATTATATAATTATTCCATGAAGTCTGTCTATCTATTTATCTTTTTTCCTATTCTACTACTGTTGGACTGATTTTCTTTGAATTAAAAATCTGAATCTTCAAATGCAACCACTTTGAATGATTCCCTTATAAGATAAAATTCCATTTCGCCTATTAAGTTAACCAATGAACCAATCAATTGACTAATCAATTATTAATTGGTAATATCTGTTGATTATGATTGTGTGTGTATGTGTTAATGGAGTTGATTACTACTAAAGTATAACAACTGATTGGCTTCATTTTTTGTTCAATAAAAGAATTCATTTTTTTCGCAATGGGACAGACACTAACACCATTATGTTAGATGAGTGATTGTATCTTCCACATGTTAAGTTAAAATGATTATTCAGTAAATTAGTGGAGCCGTAATAATAATAATAATAATAATTATTATTATTATTATTATTATTATTTTTATTAAATCAATGAATTTTTCGACTACTCAATTGCAACTTTTGAGCTCGTTGCCAATCGGCCTGTTCCAAACAGTCAGTGAAGCTTAAACAATAAGAGAGAAACTGACGTTGTTCAAAGCTAAGTAAATAAACTTGGATTACTAAGAAAATAAAAGCCACTGAAAACAAGACATGTGTTTCGGCTTAGTTTGGGACTTTAGGATTTGTTATCCACCGACGGGATTGCAAGATGGTTGCTCAATATCGAAAACTTATTGAAACTAGAAAGATAAACCAATGGATATTGATGCAATGCTATAAAAGCTAAGTACTCGTCAAAAAACCTGAAGCCTCTGGATTCTGTCCCTTGTGTGATCGTGGGTTTGCATCAGAGATAAGTCCCATACTATAATGAAGAATTCGTACAATTCCTCCTGGTTTTCAATCCCTACAAACCCCTTATGTTGATTTAAACCTAAGACTATGTAACAGAATTCAAATACATTAGAAAGTTATTAAATACGTGACAAACCACAAATAGTGAATAATGAAATTTAGTTAAATACAAACTAAACCTATTTTCTATAGTATTTTATTTTGGTTAACAACTATAGAATTCAGCATTACATCAATATCTAATTGACATTGTTTCCTAATAATACACAGAAAAAGGAAGTGTTTAAACAATAACATTGTTCAATGTTATCAAAATCAAATATTTTGATTATATAGATTTTGACAAAAAAAAGAGGAATGAAATGAATAAAATTCTTCAGTAGGAATACAAAATCAAGAAGGTTTAAAAGATAGTAAATAATGAACATGTCTACGGCGTTGCAATCAATATCAAGGTATGTAATCACATGGTGCATTTGACCAATGACTTGCACTATCACGTGAACTTTAACTACAAAGGTTACATTCCGCATTATGTTTTAACTAAATGATATTTAATTTCAGGGACTGGTGGCAAATTTGGATTTGGCTGTTCATCATTTCCTGTAAGTGTAGTCTTGAAGTGACCAATATTGTATATGAGTGTAATAGTAGTTTGGTGCGTATGGGCATAACTTATGCTTTATCCATCCCAGTCGACGAACGATTACAGCTTTATTGACCGATATACTACATTAGTGTTTGTGTCGGCCACCTGGATTGATTTATATTGTTTATTGGTATGCTCACATCTAGAAGCACATGAACCTCTATTCAGAAAATGTCATAAGTGTATGAAATTGAATAAAGAAACACTATTATTATGACGTGGAAACTGACTGACACAAAATGTTGGCATAACTGATGATGAACAACGCATTATTTGACAAAACAAATAATAACAATTTGTATAGTGATGCGAAGGCGGTTCAATTTCATTGAGATCACGAACCGATCTAAGTTAGGAAAATATTGAAGACCTCTACAAACAATGTGCGACCGTTTTGCTCTGGTACATGCGGCTCCTCAGTAGTGTGCATCCACGACCCCACAATCAGGAATCTAACAATTTCCACAGCCCCATACTGTAAAATGCCATGTGCTCACTGATAACTAACTTCGATAAGAAATTTTCTTGGTTCTAGTAGGAAACCGTGATCAGTGGAGCTAAACTGTGTCAGAGGTGGGGAAATTACCCATCAAATGCAACGGAAGATCACCGCACAATATCATGAATTGATTAAAGTTAGACTTGCCGGCTCAGTTGTCTAGAAGTTTTGCGTTCGCATGAGACAGCGATGATCCTGTCCTCGATTCCTAGCGTCGGGCTTGTGAATGGGCACTGCTGAGGTCTTATTCTGGGACGGAACGGTTATTCAATGCTTCCACTTTTTTAATGGTTATCTAACGTGGATCGGATCTTGGTTTCAATCAAATAGTTTGACAAATAAACAATTCATCCTGGAACGAATTTTTAGATTCCAACGGAATAATTTTATGAGAGGTTAGAATCAATGGCTTGAATACATGTTGTGGATGCGGAGGAATAGACCAATAATTATCATGTTAAGTCCAATGGTGTCCTTGGACTTTAAATGGACATTTTCTATTGGTCGGTATCTGTTCACTCGTGAATATTGTACAAAATGTTGTTTTCTATTTTATGGTACGATGTGGTGTGCTTGATTGGTATATAAACAAAGTATGTTTGAAATATAATGATTCATATCTCAGAGGTTGTGACTTGTGTTCTGGACTCAACTAACTGGGCTAGACAGGGAAGTGGGACCAATCGAGACTCTAGGCCGTCCGTGCGTGTTTACGTGTCATTGGATCGATCGGTAAATACGCTGTTCTCTAATCTCTTCAGTCAAGGACACAACAATTAGCACAGGGTAAAAATCGACCTCAACATAAAGCCATAACAATACAATTAATAATAATAATAATAGTAATGGGGTATTAAAATTGCTAATTACATGTAAAGAGTAGTCAACATTTTTTACACTGAATAAACATAAACTATAAATGTATGTTCCATGAACAGATTTTCTGCCGTTTTTTGATCTACCAATGGATCTGGTCCACAGTTTACATCATGAACTGACTTTAGTTAAACAACCATTTGGACTCAAGAAACACATGACAGCTGATTCGTCCTAGTATAGGACTCTTCGGCATTGTGTACACCCACTATCACATGGGATATCGGAACGAGGACTTTCGAGTGACTCTAAGTAAGTGACTAATCTCTGACTACTGAGTTGGCATCCAATAGTTAAAAGTTCTGACTTCAGTTTATCAAAATTGAAAAGCGAACGAGTTATTCGGTTGAATTTTTGTCCATTAGTTAGAATATCAAATACACTTGAAAAATTTAATCCTTATCCGTTAGAACACATGGATTAAAGTATTAAGCAACAAATCAATAAATTTCTATGGAAAACAATAATTTTGTGATATTACCTTTTTCAACATCTTTTGCTGAGTGTCGTTTGCCAATATCTGCTAATGATCGAATCAATGGGAGATTTGTTGCACTACGACCAATAAGTTTCGGTCGAAGTCGTTCATGTAAATGAACATGACGACGTAGTAACACATCGAATAACAGATCTCTTTGATCTAACGGTAAACGGTCTTCGGATATTAATAAATTTAAAACTAAATCTATAAATGATAAACAATGGACAGGAGTTAAGAGAAATATACCCAAAATAACAACTAATAAGTATATAACATAGAGTTTACATGATTCATTTAATTTAACAAGGAAAAAAATATACTCAAAGTATAATAAGACAATAGAAATCGGCGTAAAAGGAACTTTGAGACATAGAAGCATTGTGTATAGGTAAACAATATTGTAACAAAAATTCAAACATATGACTCGTTTAAAAATCAAGTCTTCGAGTCAATCAATTACAAATTCACATAATAAATAACATGTAATTATATTGTAAATGACAAATCAGTTGCATGTATACATATATATATAGCCATTTTACGAGTTTCATAAAAGTTTTGTTGTTGTTGTTGTTGTTGTTGTAGATTGAGTCATCAAAAACCTTAGAAATTTGCTTGACAACATCTTTTTTCTACGATCGATAAGATGAAAAAAAATCCTGTGTATCTGTGTACGTAACAACATGACATTTTCAAAATGTTACTTCCTATTCTATGATTATCTAATCATAATCTATTAATCAATCAATTAATTCAACTATTATTTGACTATAATAAGTTTGGGAATATTCTCTTTACTGGAAATACACCAAGAAGTAATTGGAATTAAAAAAAACCTATAAGTGTTTTTCTTTACTTGACGTAGATTAAACAATGTTAGAACAAAACTTAATTTATGTGATATCCTAACCAATTCTAATAATGCTTAATGGTTTATATAAAGTAGAAAACGTGATTTATTTAATGAAATGTAACGACTACGTAATAATAAATTGCGTAGTCATAACACATCATATAGGTGATTGTCCTACGCATCACAAGACCCGATAATTTTATATATATATATATATCTTTGAAGTCAGGCAGTCAAATACACGTACAACCTTTAAAATATAATATATAATTGACCAGTCTTTTTTTGAAGCTTTCCATTCATTCTTCTCCTTATACACGTTGAACAACATTTGTATTATTATCACTCACACTATTCACATAACTTAGTATAATGATTTTTAGTAATATGTTGTTATTGACCGGTTATATTTTCGTACAGAACCAAGCTTTTGAAATTAAGTTAACATATGTTAAATAGTTGGAGGTAGACAGAAAGAAATTCTAAGTTTCGTGCTAGTTGGTACATAACAGTTTGGCAAATATGCAGTCTTGATGTATGTGATGTTCCCTGTGGGACCCAAAGACGCATCACCCAGCTTCATAGTCTGAGACTTCACAACTGAGCTACTATTCAGGTTGGAGCTGACCCTTTATAGGATTGAATTATTTACAGTTGACTGAGCATTGAGTGGTGAATTTTCTAGTCCTCTAGTTCTGACTAGATCTTGCCGATCAGGTTACATTATGAATGGCATAGGTTTGAACTCCACATCAAGCATTAGTTATCTCAGAATTAAAGGCAAACCTTGATAAATAGTACTAACTAACATAAAACCCAAGTCAATACACGGTTTCCCACTAACTACTTTCGCAACTGCTTAACATTAAAACATAGTGTACACAATATCGATACACTTAGACTAGCGATCATATTGCAATGTACATCTTAATAATAAATTCGTTGGAAGTACATCTCTTTACTAAATTCTGTATTTGTTTTCTTTATTTTATAATAGAAATGACAAAATTATCGAAAAGCCAACGATTTGTTTTTAAAACCTTTCTTAGCAAAAAGTATTCACTAATGAACATTTAATCCATCACAAGACTATTGATGCATACTCAAGACTAATGTGATTAATTTCCCAGATACACAAGATTTCGCATATATATGGCTCATCACTATGAGAAATGAAGTAATAGTGATATTTATTAATTCATGGATTGGTCATTTTAAACTGAAAATGACTAATCATCTAGTTGTACAGCTTGTTTGAATCTTTTCGTTATTGATGCTAAAGACTACAATTGACCAATCTCTTATTTTTGGCTTGTGTATACCCTGAGAGGATCCCCTCGATATTATCAAGTCACAAGTATTTTTGGGCACATCTAATTAGTGGCCGACAATGGAATCCTGGATATAATGTAAGAAGCTAGTTTCACATCTCGGACAAAACCAATCAAATAGTGTTGTGTACTTTGATGACAAAATTAATTCTAAAATTACTACATTTCAAAGATACGCTTTAGACTTTGATCAAGAAAAATTATTTATTCAACCCGATTAACCGGTCAAAAATATAGAACATGAAGACTATATGTATTAAACAGTTATTCAAAATCAATTCCAAACAAACTAGTCTATTGATAGTATTGAAATCCAGGATGTATTTTACACATCCTATTAAAAAATTGTCAGTTAAAAATCTATATTTGTCATATTTTTGTGTTGATCTTTACAAACTCTTACAAACATGGGTAGTGGCTAGCAGTGGAATCCAGTTTGACTCGCGTTTCGTCTTATTTGGGACTCGTCAGCTGGATGTACCTGCATCTCAGAGCTGATGTTTACTCTGGGACTCGAACCCAGTACCATTTGCTTCAAACTCTTACAAAGTGAAATAATAGCTGAGAAAGCCAATTGTTAACTCGTCTTTTCGGTATCAGATACATTTTAACATTTAAAGCCACATTGTTTAATGAGATAAATTGAAACATTATTGTTCTGTAAATTCACTTGGTATTATTTGCTTAAATCTCCCCATTGATGTTTAAAACTACAATTCATCAGCCTCTTATTGGTATATGTGCATATTGTGTGTATTGCCTCGATATTACCGTAGTGATTATTTAGATGGTGGTTGGAGGTAGTCGACAGGAAACCCTGGACACGGGTTTCGTGCTACTTGGCACTCGTCAGCAAGGTGTACCTGTAATCTTGAGGGAACTGGTACTCCCTGGCGGATTCGATCTCGTATCACCGAGCTTCACAGTCAGAGACGTTACCACTGAGCTATCCGAGCCGCGACTAACCTCCTGTAGGAATGAGATGTAATCACAATTGATTGATCACTGGGTTGTGATCAATGTCATGCTTGTCTAGTCCTTATTAGTGCAGATCGAATGCTATCGAGCATGTTGCAATGTGGCCACCAGTCTAGGTGACTACCTCCAACTACCATCTAATTCTCAATATATAATGCCCGCAGTGTCGAGTCACCTAGACTGATGGCCACATTGCAACATGCTCGATAGCATTCGATCTGTACTAATAAGGACTAGACAAGCATGACATTGATCACAACCCAGTGATCAATCAATTGTGATTCGTAGTGATTATCAACTCTGTAATGCAGGTACACTCAAATGAGGAGTCACAAATAGGACGAAATGCGTGTCCTGGATTCCACTACTAGACATTATCCATCTTTGTTATTGTTGTATTATTTAAATTTTTTTGAAATAATAAAGATTGAAATTTAATTAACTTGGAATAAATTAACTTACTATAAAATGTCCTAATCATAAGACTGATTGATTTGTTTACAATTAATAAATATATTTATTAGATCAGTGACTTGTATTTCGATCAATGATTCCTGTTTTTATTACTATTATTATTATTATTATTATTATTATTACTATGACTGAAATAAAAATGACCTTCTACATAAAAACATGTCAATACATTTTACAGCACATGTACTACACTTTCCAAGCTGTTATTATCAAGTATTCATATGGATATAAAGATGATGTTCTTTTTAAATTAGTCCATTAAAGTTTTACTGATTTTGATTCAAGCCAAATTGATAAGTAGAAATAACACGAGATAAATATATAGATAAAAATCAACTGTATATTATACAGATACTCTAATTATTGAATTATAATTAATCACTTATTATTTTCTGTATGAGGGATTTGTGGAGATTGTAGTATTTTTCACAGTCGAATTCACCAGTTGATCTAAACTAGACCACTATTGAAAACTTAAGACAAAAGAGCCGTTCAGTGCTTCCATTTTTATAATAATGTCTAACTTAGATCGATTCATGAATCCAACGGTGAAAATTAATATTATTTTGTCTTGCATAATAAGTTGACTACTAGTATAAGTAGTCAGTCAGTCAGCAAAAACGTAGAACTTCATACGTACGTACAACAGTTCGAGTTACCACACCACGTTAGAACACAGATACAATTGACGATTCAAATTCCATAGTGGTAGAGGTGGTAAAATTAAGAGCAGTAATCGGAAAGATCAGGGTTTGAAGATGTTATTCAAGAAGTATAATCCAGTGAAATAAATTTGGAAAGAGAAAAAAAGGGACACCAGCAATTCAGAAGATTAGTATTTGGGAGAACACAAAGAGTGGATGCACTTGCGCCATTGCAAGCGATTTTGAGCCATGTCATTCACAGTCTCTAACCATCGGTTGCTATCGTCTCGCGGGTCCAAACCAGGTAGTCTACACCTACCAACATGACTCAGTCCACTTGTCAGTCACTTCATGGTACTGTGACATGTTTTGATCTGACCGCCTCTAGCTTTTTCCCAGCCTACTCCTACACCAGAAAACATCGCTCTTCAGGGCAGTCGGTGGTTGGGCATACGTCCCAGCCATCTCAACTGATAAAGTTTCGCTACTTCACCAATTGATTTGCCATCCTTACACAAGTTGGCAAGAGTTAGTCGAGCCTTCTGTGTCCGTGCTGAGATTTCGTCACACACCAAACCACAAGGGCTGATGAGACTTCCAAGATAAGTGAAGCGGTCGACACGCTCAACTACTTCACTCCCTATCATTAGTTCAGGTGTCGATGCAACCCAATCCTGAAGCAACATTTTGAATTTCCAGGAAGAAAATTGCATCCTGAACATGCTTGCAGTGTTGCTTAGAGTGGTCAGAAGGCTCTGCATTTTGTCAGCATAAATAGTTAATTGGTTAATCAATCATAAACAATGTTGGGTCCAGAATAAATTAACCTCAGTTGTAATACAATAACAGGATAAATCACTTGTGATAAAAATCTAACAAGTTAATGAAATAGCCTTAAATTATCAATGATACTGAATAGCTAAAGAAAAGAGAAGTTGGTTTAAAATGAGTACATAGAAAATAAGAGCACTGTAAGGCTATTTTGTCCTAGTATAGGACTCCTCAGATTTTCAGTGGTAGTCCAACATTGTACGATTCATGATCTCAATAAAAGATTATCAATTGATTGGTCATTCTTCATCCAGTATCCTACTCTTAATATCAGTAGTGTAAAGAAAAAGTGCTTATCAAAATGTGGATCAAAAAAGACGCAGAACAAAATATATGAGTAGTTATGGTCCATTTTGAAAAGTCTATAAAGTCAGCCAAATTCATGATGATTTTGAAAAACTACTTCTCTGTTTAGTTTATTTTAGGGAAGATATTGCATGTTCTAATTGAAATAATATTAAAATTAATAAGACAAGCACCCAAAACTATTTGACTTGTAAAATAATTTGATATAGTCCCGTCACGTTATGTAGTCGGCTGAGTCTGATACTGATTTGTACACTTCCTGTCTGCTGACCTAAACTAGCTGCTTGAATTGGTAAGGCCGAGTGTGATTTGGAAGCTTTTATTAGCTAACACGATTAGCAAATACATACATAAACTAATTCCTAAATATATATCGTTTTTTACCGGAAATTCTAAAGCCGCACTTTCAACCAATAGACTATGTCTTTCTCCTTAGAAAGTGAAACCAAGATTGTAGATATGAACTCCCGTGGAGTACCGTACTAAAATGAATCGGCTGTCTAATTTTACAGGTTTTCAATGATGGTCTAGCTAAGATCAGTTCGTGATTTAAACTATGAAGATGTAATTAAATTGACTGATACGACAAAATACTCTTATTATTTTGTACACATGTTACAGGATAGACCATAATTAGCTAAAGACTTTCTATTCAAGTACATTGAAAAACACTTATATAAAGAGAACTAGGCATTCGTTTTTAAGTAAAAATATAGGTTAAAAGTAAACTTAAATATATCAATGAGATTACCTGCAATTTGTTCCATGCTATAACTTTCCAGATTCAACATAATTACTCCACTTGCCAGACAACTGCGTAGTTCAAATACAGAGAATAAAGGTAGTGTAGCTACATGTGGCTTAGACCAACGTTCTCCATTTTCTTCCACATCCTCTTCAAACTTAATCCACCTTTAACGAATAAAAAAAGTATGAATATGTAAATAGAAAGCTTGGTTCATACAAACCAATTCAAAATAGAGATATGACGTAACCGGGAAATAAAGCTACATTTTATGTTTCGAATGTGAAAATTCAATCTTATGATATTTTGTTTCCTTACCGATTGATATGAGTTTGCAAAAACTGATAGCAATAGATAAATGATAGTTATCCTATCATTCTTTAAGACTGATTAGTAAAATTTAAGTATCAAGATTAAAACCTTAAGTCGTCATGATTATATTCTTTATGGCATTGATAAACAAAAATTCAGGTTCGCATCACAAGTGGTTGGGAATTTATAAACTTATTTGATCACTTGATTATTAATTAAATACCATATTCTTATTGCAATCTTTCTTTTATACATTACCACCTTTGAATTAACTACTTTTATGAATCCGGTGTCCATCTTGTTGTGTTAATGAGGTATGGCAACTTGAACCGATGCATATATGTGCCTGGTTCTACGTTGTAGCTGTCTGACTTATCTCAAAATGATTCTTTAAAAATGAGAGTGCATACTAATTTTCTCAAAAAACAGACTTAAAAATGCTCATGTTTACACTTTTACAATATTTGGATAATAGAAGTAAGGACATTGTTACAAAATAATAGTTAAAATTACTTATGCCTAATATTGGGAGGATCATTTGTGGAAACCATATTTCGATAAAACCCCATTAATTCAGAGTTCAAAATTAACGAAAAGTTCTAAAAAACATTGATCCGTCATAATGTAAACTTTTTCAGAAAAACATAAAGGGCAACATAATCAATATTGGGATCTGTTTTGTAGTGAGTACAAGTTGTATAAATAACGTTTAGACTCATATTTTTATGATAAAATGTTGTGAGGATTATCAAAGTTAAATTGTTATGTCACAAACTGACAGAAATCTGAATACCACTGAAAACCAGAAAGTACTGGATGATTGATTCGCTCTAATATAAGAAGATCCCATGGTGTCCATTCACAATCCGAGCAGTGATCAAACTCATGAACCCCAGACTTTGATGACAGCGTTTAACTCTCGGACTACTAAGTTGGTTTTACATTGATTTGCGTTCCTAACTTCCGTCAATTCGTGACATTGTGTGACCATCTCTTTTTGTCATTTGTGATATTTATCTAACACTAGATATGATTTAACTTTATGGTCATGACTTCTCACTAGAACCACCAGAATTACCTCTCAACGTAATTCATTAGTAAGTACGTGATGATTGTTATTACAGGGTGTTATGGAGATAGTTGAATTTAGATTTTGATATTACAGATCAATTCTAGTTAAACAATCATTAAGAACCAAGAAGCACTAGTTCGTTTTCTATGTGAGTGCTTACGAAATATAATTCTGTAAATATGGATAAAATAGTTAATAATAATAATAATGATAATAATAATAATAATAGACTGACCTTGCGGCTTCTCGCCATTCGGTTTCACCTGATCCTGATGGGTCATTCCATAGTTCATCTAATTCACAGAATAACTGATGTGTTTGCTCATCATCACCATCGCATTCACCAAGTAAAAACATTACATGTTCACTTGGATTTGTAGCTGTAAATAGGGAGGAAAGAGAAAGCAAAAACAATTGGCTGTTACTCACAGTGATATGAATGAACGTTTAAGTATTAGGATAGTATTTCATGCAAATTACATAGCCACTATAAGCATATGCTTCTGACTGATAATATTGTGTGAATTTTCTTTGTAACGTATACAATGAAATATCGGATTATTGCGTTGATATTAAATTTCTGAAGGAATATAAGTAGGAATATTAAACTTTGCTTAAAGTGATTGGTTCGTAGATACTTCAACCTCAAGAACGATTATAGTTTTCTTAAATGTTCAGTGCCACGGTCAAACAAGTTATCTTTGAAGTAGACTAATTACTATTTAGCATCTGAATTATAATATAAAATCCATACGTGTTTAACATCTATTTGATGTTCAAAAACTACCATACAGGAGATTACCCTTAGATGTACTCTGAGAAGCCGACATACCAATAAATTACATAGGTCATTTACCAAACCAGATAGTGAAAATGGAATTTGTAAACCACCTTTGTCAGTGTCTAACTATGAAGTATAAATAGCGACAGCCAAATCACAAACGAACTCTGTACAGTCGAATTCATAATATCTTGAGAGTTGGTCATAAATAACTTGATCAAATTTTGTTGAATACATTGTATATCATCACCTGTTTTAGCTGTTATTTAGTATAAGGAATTGCATCTCCTCTTACTGGATTGATTGTTGATGATCTTTCAGTAAAAGTGTATAGAGCTTTTTGCCCTGGACTTTCCTGTGCTCACGAATCTATGTTTTGTTTATTTGTGCTAATATCTAACGTGAATCTAGAACTTTCATACGAAATAAATACTCTTTCAAGATTCAAGAACTTTATTCATCACAAAAACATAAAGCGATATCGCATATGTAATTAAACACAGAAAAGCCATGCGAGATAAATTGGCGTAGGATCATAACGCAATTATGAACAAAATGTGAAATGCAATCATCTACTAAACACTGATAGTTGACTAAAAGTAATCAAACTTTAAATATATACAACCGGAAAAATCGTTTAGCTAAGAAATGGCAGGAATCGATAAACCATGAATGCAACAGTTTTAATACAATAGACTACAACTTTATTTTGAAACCATTAAATATGCTAAGTACAACCTAGCTAGTTTTTATCAATAAATGGGTAAAATACAGAATCTTTTTGTTTGAAATTGAGAAACCATTTACACAATCACCATTCAGTCATAAAAAGGCACATATATTTGTTCAGATACATCATTCTTGAACATGAACTAATTAAAAATAATCAAAACTTACGGAATGCTTTTGAACTTTCCTCCCTTGTGCTGTTTGTACCGATGCGTTTACGTCGTCGACGGTGACGATGAGCTGAAGGTCCTGATGCAATTCCTTGGGGGAACTGTGACGTACTGAGCGTAGCTATGTCATTGCTTACGGATAATCCAGCTATCATAGACAGCTTAGACCGATGATCTGAAGACAAAGAAAATTGGATCAAAAGCAGGTCTTTAATTTTTAGAAACCTATTAGAGAATACATGACAAGATAATTGGGGGAAGATAATCCAAAAATCGTTTCAATGATTTATAGTAGTAAAGTTTTCTGTTACTGAACTTATCTGTCAAATTTTAATAGTTGAACATTTTCGGTTTGTTTGTGCAACAAAATTGTTTTAAAATATTCGTAGTATTCCCTAGATTACTAACTTCCTTCGGGAGTCTTCTAAACCTAGTTTCCTAGTAGTGTGCTATACAAATAAACATTATATATATATATATATATATATATATATATATATATAGTGTGTAATTGGCTCTTCCTAATCTCATAATACGTCGTGTACGTGTATTGCAGTTCGACATAAACATTATTTGTAAATAAGAAGTTCACACAACGCAAATGCCCTGGTCGTAGACCATAGTATCTACGTATAAAACGTTTTTCAAAAAGTAAAACCTCTATTTACTTTGATATACGCTAACATTTAGACTACGAAAACAGAAAAACATCTAAAAGTAACAAGACTTGGAAAGTTCGCTATGCTCTGAACTAAGTGGTAATTAGCACAATCATAAAAAGGCAAAACTTTGCTAAATGGATTCAGAGAATCAGTACAAATTAATAGGTGAAAAATTTGAGAGTTATTGTGCAAACTGGTTTTAACAGTGTAGATAGTGACCGTTTACATCAGTATAAAAGGAATAACAGTAATAAATGAGTTACTATGTTGCGTTGTAAAGGTTTCTTCACTTCGCCTCCTTACCGCTTTTTTCATATATTTAATTATTGAACATTCTGGCAATTAACTTATTTAGTAATTTACCAGCCGTCAGTTATCTTACCCATTTGATACGTTTGATGAGTGAGATATATCTTCAAACTCTGACTTTAGTGATGCGCTCAACCGAACTAATTGGATTTCCGTGACATAAGTACTAAATTAACAGGAAGAAAATCGTGAGCTTACGCGTTATTTAAGCTAGTTTTATTCGACAAATATTATTCACTCCATTTTTTGGTCAAAAATGTTAGGATAGCCTACTGATTCTGCCAGTTATAAGGACATATTTACACCGTTTAAGGTTGTTACAGTATACTAGCACAAAAAGAAAATTATAAAAACAAATCAAGAGAAGCAGTGGTAATAGCACTACCAGTGGTAGTAAAAAACACTGGGGAAAGACAATATGGTTTACGAAGAATGAGTTCACAGAGTAAAAAGCAGATAGTCTTAAAACTCAGCATCTCATGGGGAGGAAGGGGGAATGTATGTGTGAAATTACTAAGTTACTTAGTTAACAGATTTTAACTTCATACACTGGTCTGATCACTGCAAAATATGCATGACGATCTGTCAGATCCTTGCTCTAATTTAGTGTATTGCATCTGAGTGATATGGTATTTATTCAAGACTATAAATATTGGATAGTTTTTGAAAACGCCGATGAAATTGTGCAACATTTAAAGTTCATTAAACCAGTGTTTTGTTATTTTTTTAATATAAGGTCTATCTTTGATGTAGCTAGGTAGATAGTCCCAATAAAACATCAGACTATTATAAGCCACCAAGCAAAATGGCTGGAAGTATTAATTGCGTTATGCCACATTTAAAGCCTTAAGATATTATTAACTGAGTATTTTTCAGTGAGATTACGATCACAGTAAGTACTGAGAACGGGGGAACAACATTACAAAATGGTGCTCTTAATCACATATATGATTTTGCAAGGAACATATTGAAAAGCAAAGTTTCGATGTTTCGTAACAGAACGTTAACGTTGTTGGAGTCAAAATATCGATCTTCAGAAGGGTTTAATGGGGTAGTTCGAACTAAAACAATAATTAAATCGGATGGCGATATCAGACAAGATTGTGACATCTTCGGTTAGATTACATTATGAATAGCTTTTTGCAAGGATTGAATTGTTATGATCACATCCAGTGGTAAAACACAGAAAACAAACTCTGTAACTAGTATTAAGGAACGGCAAAATAGATTAAGTGTACTATTTAAGATGTTGCCAACTAATTAGTTCCTACTTAAGTAGGAATATCTATCAGAAAACAATAAAATCACAAAAGCAAGGCGCTCCACTCTAACTCCATATAATATACGAAACATAACAGGAGATAATTTTAACATAATCATACCTTCGATTTCATCTTGAGAAGGTTCGCCGATATTACACTTTACTTTCGAGTCAAGGATTGGCTCATCACTCAAGTTTCCAGGCTCAGACATGAGACTTTGCGAATGAATTATGCCAACATGCGATCACTTTGAACGTTTATAAACTGAAAGAACCATAGACTCCTCACCGATAAAAACGCGCACTAACTGCTTAAAGTGAACCAATCACTATCAGGATGACCTCCGATCTGAATAGCTATTTGTTGTTCGAAGGTCCTTGAAAAAGTTAAAAAACAATGTGATATCATAAAACAAAATACGTGTACTTGAAAATTTTTGATCTGTATGTGGCTTGAAGATCCTGGTACTATTTGCGAATTATACACCCTCCATTTCTCTCAACGATACGACACAAATAGAAACATCTACCGATACTTTCCCAATGTTGATATCTGTGCATTTATCATAAGTTGATTTCATATGCACCAACATCAAGTAGACCATAACTGCTCTGAAAACGTTCTATGACGGTGTGCCTGACGGGATTCCTGAGCTGTCCATGAAACGTAATGGCAGAGAATTTCCATGGACTATGTAGCCTATTTATCTGTATGAAAAGCATCGCTTATAACCCCTAGATTTAAAGACGGGATCACGTGGCGATAATGCTAACTATTAGAGAATTAACTAAACTATTGCGTTATCAAGAATCATTGGAAAACAACCCATAAACAGTTATTAATAATTTACTTTCGGCTCTTCTGATTGATCCATCTCAGCATGAGTTAATGACTAAACGTAAATGCTCCACATCGAACTTGAAATGTTTTGGTGAAATTACCCAAAGAATAAACGTCAGTCAATCAGCGATAAATCTGTACTTTTATTTGATGAGGCTTTCTACAGCACCTCCCGAAAACTAAAAATTTCTTCATTTGACATATGGAATCCCCAATTTATCATGGCTCAAATCCTTTTTAGCAGAACGTAGCCAAATCGTTCGCTTTGGACCTTGCAACTCTGAACCTATGGATGCAACCGGTGTGATTATACAAGGAAGCGTGACTGACCGGCCACTCTTTCTTTCTTTGGTCTGTGACGCGTACTCACTCTTTCAACACAACAAACCTTTACTTTTTGCCAATGACCTAAAAGTAGTTTATTTATTCTCAACTCTTGCCGAAGAAAGGTGCATTTCAGTGGTAATCCAAAAAGACATAAACAAGTTATAATAATAGACTGTGTCGTGAGATCCGTCACCGAATTTTGTTTACGTCGGCCGCAGACTTATCCTAAATCTTGCTATACAAAAACACACACTGAAACCTCTCAACTATGTTTGTGACTTGAGTTTGAAGTACAGCATCAATTTGAACTTCTCCGATTGCATCTCAAGTATCCAAAGCAAGAAAGCTCGTTGAATTTATAATGATAAATTACAATAACAGTGAATCCAGATACTACACAAAAAGCATATTACCCATTATTGATTATGTGATTCTTTGCAGTAACTGTAGACATAATGACTCGATGAAAATTGAATCTTTTGAGAGAATATTCACCAAAGCTGTTCCGGGGTATTCCGACAATTAGGATTACAACCAAAGATCTCTGAAACTCAATTTAGGACCTCTATGGATTAGGCGCATTAAATTAACCTTTATCTTTATTTACCGAATTATAAATGGCACTTCTTACTCTTAGGCACTCACCCCTTCGTACTCTGTCGTGTCACAATATAATGAATAATCTATCGATTACGAGAGCCAACAAAAAATTACGTCCAAGTTGTTTTGTTATTCTCTATTTAACCATGTGGAACAGACTTCCTGTAAACCTCCGTTGCAGTGAAACTATAACTCGGCTCAGAAGTCTCCTCGACGGCTTTTTTCCGAAAGTGGTTTGTGACATCCATTAAATATCAATGTGATTACCAATGATTCAAATACACACGATCCGATATCTACATAACTGACTGTAAAGCAAAATAGAACCCTTGAAACTTTGCTCGTTATTTTATTTTCTACCTATTTATTTAAACGTCCCAAGTCTTTGTGTGTTCACATTTATTATTATTGTTACCATGATTGGTCCTCTGACACACTAGGTATACTTTTATTCCGACCTACTCTTTTCCTCCTTAACAAACTTATTCCCTACACATCCAGAAATTATAATTAAAAACACATTATCGTGTGTTACACTTAATTAAATTAACTTTTCAGATTTACTTTATTTTCAGCACGTATATATAATCCAAACAAACTGTTCGTTAATTACCCTTGCAATTAATTGAGACTTCCACAACATCATTCTGAACTATTACTGCACAAATACATATTCTGCCAGCATATTTTACTGCATCAATGATTTACTTTCTTATATACTTTTACTCAACTGACAATACCTACATCATCGTTTATCACTATTCTCTTTTCACAAACACACTTTTAAATCATTTATATATTTTGCGTTTATATCCTTCAAATTTCCCTTCTTTCCTTATTTGCCTTCTTCAAAGTTAACTCGGTATTCTAAATTCTACAGAACTCGTCTAAATATAGAGAATATTGTGCCAACATTATTGGAACTTGTGTATTGCTGTATTTCTGAAGAAATCTAGCTTGATTTCTTCACAACACTTATGCACAAATAGGCTGTTTGCGAATAATAATAATAAAGTAGAATAATACTATCAGATTCATCTTTCTCATATACCGCTGGTGCCACTACGTGCGGAGGAACCTCCGTTAAACAAGCGAACTCATTTGTAGTTATCTCAGGAGATGCTTCTAAGGACAGTGAAACGTCACTGGGCCCTAGCCAAATTATTCGGAAGTCGGGCCATTGGATGTCGAACAGTTTGTAGAGTTATGGTCAGGGTCGAAGACAACTAACGCGCATCAGTTAATTGCACGTCATGGACTGGTGCATGTAATAGTGTTCGTATTCTGTTTTTCGTACCTACTCTTACTGAAATATTTCTGTAATAACGTCGTTTGTGTTGCACGGTCGTCAAAGCAGCCACAGCACCTGGGTACGACGAAAAGGGAATCCACGTTAGGTACTAACCGTGGAGTGTAACTTCGACATTAGCTGGTACGTCGTACCGTATCCGTTCAACTCGAGTAGGTCCTCAATCACTCGGCTTAGATTATCTAAGTTAGTGATCTACACTGGTGAGCAAAACGTCGAATAACACAACCTATTATCATAATCTTTGTTCTTAAATTCTATACTTATTCTTTTTCTTATCTATCGTCACTTAAATTCATCAATTATTATGAACATTCGCTGCTTCATATCAATTTTAATTAGTATTAAAGCTTAACTAGTTATTTAATTCAATGAAACCACCTATCCAACTACGATTACAATTGGTTATCGTGGATTTTTAACAAGTATGTAAATGCTCATTTGCAATATGTCCGTTAAAATAACAACTACTAGTTAGTATAGCCACAAGACATCACAAACACATATTTGTTTGTATCTTATCTACTTGTGCAAGCAAGACAAAACCAAATATCGATTATAATTTTATCTTCCTACTTAATCACTATACACTATATATGCATTGGTCGAGATCAGCCCAAACTATTAACATCAATGAGCGAAACCCAGGCATGCTATTATGCTCTCCCATCACGAGCTTGCCTTATTTGGAACGTCTGTCTAGTTAAAGTGAAGCGACTACGTGGGATTCTCCCACCAGACGATTTGCTGTTGGATGGCATTCTGTTGTAATGATGTGATGGATTCTTATAGTGCATGTGAATTTATTGGAGGTGCGATTGAAACTGAATATGGTACACCTGAATTAAGAAATTCATCTCTTTGGGGACATGGCAGCAAAACCTTTGGCTGCCTACTTTAGTAAACATCTATCCTACATTATACTCCTCTGATTGCCTATACTCTGATGGACAACCTATACTTTATACTATAGTCAATTAAAACACCACATCGATGGTTCATAATTTGTAACTGACAGACAAGCTTGTAAAATGATGCTTATAAAACTAGTGTTTTCCAGTAGGATGTGGACTTTGAACTTGCCCCACCCTGGTAAATGTCATAACTCATTGTTCTTTACTCATCTGGAGCCTCTGATCAAATTTCACTCTAGCAACTACAGCTAGTATGAATTTGACCTAATAATTATTAGGCCAATAATAGATTATTCTATCATACGACTGTCTGTTCCACTACAAAATGTTATTGTTTAGCGTTCATATCCAGTTGCCTTGCTGCTCCCCTGTTTCTCCTTTTTCAGAATCTTACTCTGAGGGCGCAGCTATGGAAGTTCCGACTTCTGGAACGTACACGGTTTCTCAAAGTCATAGTTTACACCAAGAGCTCTACAAGTCTACTTTAGAACAGCTATAAACTTAAAAAGTTGTATTGCATAAATATTTAGCACGATCAAAATACTAACACAGTTATACCGAATTGGATCTGGTATGTGACGAGGACACGATGCTACTTTGAAAAATATTTTGAAGACTGTACTCAGTGTATTACTGAAGCCTAAACCTAATCATTAACTCTCCAAGACATCTGCACGAATGTACTGTTATTTACTTTTATTGATTATATCTATTTAACGATCCTACTTAGAAAGCATACTGTGAGCCAACAAATGCTGTAAAATGGCGTGTACCTGCCTTTCCTGAAATGTACTATTATTATATCTTTTACCAGGCATGTAATAAGCCATCTGGTAAAACGGCACACCTCAGTAAAGATGCGAGTAAAACCGTTGGACGGAGCCAAAAGCCAACTAACTCGTTAAGAACATGTTGAAAACGATTGGATAACCTGAATATTGACAATGTTCTAATTATGTGTCCGTGTATATTGCTACGCTAGCACTATTAACAATTCTGGTCCACTAATTTATATTTGGACTCATTTCTGTTTAGACAAGTCTTTCTGCGATCAGTCTCACAGTAGCATGAATCCCTGGAAGAAATAATGAATGAAAACAATCAAAAGCTCTCTTTCTGTACATTACCAGCACAAATGGTTTGTGTATGCAAGTCGAAGTGTCGCAAATTATAGTGGACTCAAAATGTAGTATTTAAGCACTATTTAAAATTCGACTTGAATTTTATCTATACGCAGAGAGATAAGAATAATCGGCCTGTAAACGTGTACTGTTTAATATAAACCAGTCCAGTGGAGCAAAGTGCACCCACGTTGAAACGTGATAAAATATCTGCCTTAACACTTGATTCACTTTTTGTAAACTGTATATTGGTCGAATCTTATGAAATTTGATCTGACTGTTGCATCTC